AGGCTTTTCTCTTCCCTTTGTCTATCACAAGCTGGGAGATGGAGGCTGTGGGCTGCGAGGGGCTATCTTTCCCACTATGTAAAGAGAACTTGCCTGAAAAGAAGTGAACACGCAATGCTCAATAAATACACCTATTTATAATAAACAAATTCCTCTTTTATGGGAAACATCAGGTCTCTGCAGGCTAATAGGAGGGGGAAACAAAGCTAAGTCGGAAAGCAAAACTCAAGATTTTGCTGCAGTAGCAGCTATCTTTACTTCCGAAAATATAAGTGTGTGTGTGCAAAAATGTGCTCACTAGCCAGAGATGTGGGTTTGGATACAGATTCTACTGCTTACCAGCTGCACCAGACAACTGGAATTAATAGCTTAGCTCCCTGGGCTGATGTGAGGACTGAGTGAGAGCTCAGTGCCTAGCTCAAGGAAGCGCTAGGTCTCTTCATGTGTCCAAGCAGTACAGCACCTCTGTGGACTTGACTTCAGCCTGTTGAAACTGATTTGTTCTCTCCCCTAAAACTCCTTAAGGCAAAAAAAAAAAAGATGGTCAGAGAAGGTCATCTGTCATTTGGAGATATATCCAGAGGGAAAGGAAATTACTTTAGTTCACTTTTAGGAGATGGTTAACCACTTTCCTTCTTTCCTATTGAAATGTTTTCATATTCATTTCCACCATACATTGTAGTCTTCCTAGTATGGAAAGTTCCTTTATTGGACAAAGTACAAGATGAACTGATCTGTCATCATTAACTAAATCATACTTACTGGTCACTCTTTTTATTTTTTTAATTTTAATTTCTTTATTGATTTCAGAGAGAGGAAGGGAGAGGTAGAGAGATGGAAACATTGATGAGCGAGAACATCGACTGGCTGCTTCCTGCATGCCCCCCAATTTGAACTGGGCCTGTAACCTGGGCATGTGCCCTGACCAGGAATCGAACTGGCAACCTCTTGGTGCATGGGTTGATGCTCAACCACTGAGCCACACCAGCTGAGTGTACTGGTCATTCTCAAAGGCTCCCTTAAATTATACTCACTGCCCTTCTACTATTCAGAAAAAAAGTCTGCAGCTTGCCTCTCCTAATCAGATTTGAATCCATTCTATGATAGGCTCCCTACTGATTCATTTTACATTGCCTACCTGAAACACATCTGTTTGGACATGAAGTCTCCACTGAACTGTATTTTAAAGCATTCTACTCACTAGGGTAAAAAAAAACCAATTTAATAACAACTCTGAGACACTACAGTCAGCCCTTGTTTATCAGTGAATCAGTTCCAGACTCTACCGCGATAAATGAATTTCTGCAAAATAGGATTCTTTATTTATATACAGTTGTCCTTCGCCACTTTGTGCTTCGATTTTTCAAAGCTGCAATAGAATGAAGCCGTGAAAGCTGAAGCGTGAAGTGGCGAGGGGCGACTGTACTCTCTAAAGCTGGAAAATGTTATAGCCTTTCAAGGTATAAAAGAGATCATGGTAGATATGTTTGAGACATGGGTTTTATTAGGTTTAACTTTACATGTAAGAACTAAAAAGCCAACAAGCTCATGTATCTTTTTGAAATAGGAAGGTTTCCTCTATTTCACAAGTCTTCTGAAACCACCACTCTCTCCTCCTATTTTTATAATGTGAGCCCAATGATACACAAAAGGAGGTTTTAGAAAGGTCATGGCTTGGGCCCTGGCTGGTTTGGCTCAGTGGTTAGAGCATTGGCCTGTGGACCAAAGGGTCTCAGGTTTGATTCCCGCTCAAGAGCATGTACTTGGGTTGCAGGTTTGATCCTCGGCCCTGGTCAGGGTCTTTTAGGAGGCAACCAATCGATGTATCTCTCTCATATCAATGTTTCTCTCTCTCTCTCTCTCTCTCTCTCTCCCTTCCACTCTATTTAAGAATTAATGGAAACATATCCTTGGGTGAGAATTAACAAAACAAACAAACAAAAAAGAAAAGTCATGGCTTGGGAAGTTGTAAGGTATTGGTAACAAAAGCAGAGACAGGCCTACCTGGTGAACAGTAGGCTTCTAGACTTACGGAATGTCAGCCAAAATCAAATTCTAATTCAACAGGGGGTGCAGCTCCACTAAAGTCAAGAATGCAGACAGTATTGAGTAATGGTGTCTGTACAGTCATTCTACGTATTTCAGACATAACGTTAACATTGTTTGCTAAGTAAATACATTAGCAGATCTCTGGAAACATAAAAACATACACCAGTTAAATCAAAGTCTATTTCCTTTTATTTGATTTTATTACTTTTTCAAGATCTACTCCAACCATTTAAAACCACGTATCTCATACCTCCTGGAGGTGTGGGGTGTGTGTGGGGAGGGAGGCAAAAGCTGGAAATTAGAGAATGGCTAAGTTCAACCTGTTAGGCTTCTATGCCCACTATGCAACCTGAGCCTGGGATTTGTATGGTTACCAAAGCACTGAGCAGATTGATGCTATAGAAACGTAGATAAAGCAGCAATGTACCAGAAAAAGGAAATATAAAGCTGATATGATTGCTTTTTATTTATTTCCCTTTATTGATTATAGAGAGAAAGGAAGGGAAAGAGGGAGAGATAGAAACATCAATGAGAGAGAACATTGATTGGCCGCCCCCTGCATGATCCCCACTGGGGACTGGGCCCACAACCTGGGCATGTACCCTGACCAGGAATTGAACCAGTGAACTCTTGGTGCATGGGTCAACGCTCAACCACTGAACCACACCGGCCAGGCTAATTTCTTTTTCTTTGTAATCCAGTCTGGTTGAAAGATTTGGGGCATTTAGCCCTAAGATCAGATAGCTAAGATTTTCTGTACATAGACATGTCCCTATAACTCAGTGAAGAATGTGAGATGCTACCTGTCACACCTTCAGTACTTGATGAGCCCTGTAGATCTATCAGGGGTTCAGTTTGGGAATGCTGCCACCAGGCAGTGGAATGACAGAATTAGGAAGAGAGCATGCATACATATGCATGTGCACAGACATAGATTCAGTTTCTATTTCTCTCCCTCTTTCCCTTCCTTTCTCTCTAAAATCAATAAAGGGAAATAAATAAAAAGCAATCAAATCAGCTTTATAGTTCCTTTTTCTGGTACTCTGCTGCTTTATCTACATTTCTATAGCATATCTGCTGAATCTTCATGGTAATTCCAAATGAAGTCCCCACCGTGGCAGAGGAGTCAACAGGTGGCCTTGTAGCCATTCTTAGGCAAACCTAAATTTGGTTCAGGAGACAAGTGGTTGTCAGGAAAGTGTCACCCAGTCACCACCCCTCCCTTTATCCTTCAGGTAGGTGTTAAACAGGAGACTGTGGTTGCCAGGAACCCCACTGCATCTTTCTGTCCCCCAGGATACATGGGTCAATACTCAACCACTGAGCCACATCAGCCAGGCAAGGATACATGGGAATTTTCTGAATTCAAAGGAATATACAGAATCACTGGACTCGCAACAGTCAGATGTAGAGCAGTTGTTTTCAAGTTTATCCTGATGCCACAACCAGTCAAATGAACTACCTCCATCAGCTATGCATCCCATTACACACACAGATTCTCAAACGGGGCATCCATCCCTCCCAGCCCGAAGGGTCATACAATATAAAACCAGCCCCACCTACCAGTTTCCCTCACACCCTTTTCCTTATTTTAAAATTAAGTATGTTAAAAAAAAATAGAAAGCAAAGACCCGAGCACAGCTGAACAGGCTTGGGATTCAGAATGAGCACACGAAGTAATGGCACGAGTGGAGCTGTACCTGTCCCAAACCGAACAGCAGTCAGCTGGATGGGCCACCAGATCCTGTCGTAAGACCAGCTTTACACAGAGGTGCTGCATTGTGCAGGCAAACACCATGCTGTCTTTGGAACTGAAAACACTCATTTACAAAATCAAGTTGGAATTTTTTCTCTACTTAAAAAAAAAATCTTTGTAAAAGTTGTTTTACATCTCTTCAGGAAAACAAAATGTCCAATCTATTATTGTAATTTTTTAGAGACAAAACGGTATTTGGGGCTCTTCTTTGCCTTCATCCTTCTACATGAAACTTCTCCAAGGGAATAAGCCATATGGAGAAATGTCTCCCCAATGGAAAAAAGGAAAGATAACAGCTGCTCAAATGTCAGTAGCAGTTTTTCACACTCATACTCGGAAAATCTCTGGGGTTAGCCAGGGTTGACTGACCCCAACTCTTTTTTTTTTTTTTTTAATCTTTTGGGAATTTGTTTTTGTAAAATGTTGTCAATCATGGCACTGTTCTGTCATGTGGCCATAACATAAATCCTAACTATAATGGGCTGACACCACACTTCAGGGTCAAGTCCAGAAGGTCACATTGACACTTGAACGAGTCACAGAAGTAGCTGAGACTACCACACTCCCAGGAGGCTGCAGGGCAGGTGCTGATACAGCACCCAGTCCTAAGGCTCCAATGCTCAAACATGTTATCAAGGCCCTCCCTTTTTCAGTTATAAAACTATTCTGAGCTAAAAAGTTGGCTAATTTTTTTAAGAAAGAATTTTGTTTGGATAGTAGGGAATCCCAGCAAAGGAAACTGAGAGGGTCTTGCAAATGTTCCCTCAGGCTGCAAAATATCTGACCAACTACTCTTACTCCTTGAAATGGCACCTCTATCTCCACAATAGTCACAGTGTTTATTTTTTAGTTTTCCAACCCACTTATGTAAAATTGCATAGGCACTGAAAAATTATTAGTATCTGATTCTCAAGATTCTTGGGGACCATTATCTTAAAGCAGATTATAATAAAATCACTTGCCAGAAGCGTGGCTGAAAAACTGGCTTTGATTCAGGAGACTGACAGAAACTGAAATTTTGTTTCTGAACTTAAACCTCAAAGCTATAGGTACTTTTAAAAAATTGGATGAAAATTTTCTAAATATAAAATAGAGACAATTCAATCTTAAAATTCAAACAGAAAACTGAAAACATTTATTAATAATAAAGTTCCATGAATTCTACAGAATGAAATGCTCAGTATTCTCCTTAAAGATACTTAAAGCTAGTGATCCCACTTTTAATTAATATTTGCTAAAATCTATGTAGCAGGCTCTAGATTTAATTATTTGTTCAGGACCAGAGTGAAGCCAAAGACACAAAAAAGGATTAGGGTAAACTGTGAGCAGCTGTTTTAAAAAGACTACATACACTTAAAATAAGATCACACACTTGAATCTGCTTGTCACAGAGGAAGTAGGGACGATTTGGAAGAAACGTAGCTTTAGCTCTGCTTTACGCATAACCAGATGCTCCTTTTCCAAAAAGTATGCTAAGGTTTTAAAAACCACATTTTATCAGAATACTTCAGGAAAATAGAATATGTGTAATCCAAGAAATACACGTATTTGCATAATAAGAAAATCATCACAGGCAATAAAAGATTAAAACAAAGGAAAGCACCGGGGTTTGGAGCAGTTCTAAGATGGGTATCTCTGCAGAAATAGTGTAAGTGCTATGGAAACATGCTGATGAGTATTGGTCCATATCTTATCATTTTTTAAAAACATGTTTCTTTGGGAAAATGGCAATATTGGCCAGGAGGGTAGCTGTCCTTTTAGACACCCAGCTTGTTGGCCTGAGTGAGGACAACTTTGAGAACTGGCATGAAAGCAGAGGTCTCGCTGAAGTTGCTGGTGCTAACTATGTGGGTGTGGATGGTCAAGCCTTCGGAGTAGTTTCGCGTCTCAATGCTCCTTGCAATGTTGTGTAAACCATTGATGATTGTGGGTGAAAGCTGAAATAAAGGTGGAACCAAGAGAAAGAATTAAATTAAGGAAGAACTTCCCATGAAACTCTGTATAGACATTAAACCAAAATATTTAAAAAGGAGCGTGATACAAACATTATAAAAAATGTATAAACCATTTAGCATTTCTAGAAATAGTTTTTTAGATCAAGCAACACTTATGAAACAGAACCATGATAAAATGATATGTAAGGAAATTATGAATTAAACATGTTTGATAAGCCAGGATTTTCTTATAGAAAAGCTAACATCTCTCTCCACTTAAGAGTTATAATTCTTCATTTATTTTAGATATAGCCTCACACCTTAAAAAAAAGATTCTTAATCATGATACCTCAAAGTAACAACCCATTTTATTCTTAAATCTTGTCTATAATAGAGATCCGGAACTTTCTATCTACTTCCCTCGGTAGGGCAGCAGCCCCCATCACATACTCAACTACTCTTTAGAATCTTGTCATCTCTTAAAACCATAAAACCTAGTCTTTTTCATTACCTGGCTTACATGCCCACACTTTTGAGGGAAGGCTTTATTTTGGATCAGTTCATGACATAACCACTCCCACTGTTATAGCAACTTTCTTTGATTTGGTTCTCAAGAGAGAAATGATTATTTTTATCTGATGGGATTGATGTGGGGAATGGGAAAGAGGAATGCTAAAATGCAAAAATATAAAGAAGTCCCAGAGTTATTTTCCCCTCTCCTAGTGCTTTCATTAATAAAGCAAAAACGATTCCAGAAAGGCATGGAGAGGTGGGGACAAGGGATCAGAAGACAGTGCAATCTCTCCTCCTGTCGGCTACCTTCCATCACAGCACATCAACCTGCTTCTCTGGCGACCGTGTCAGCTTTGCCTTTGTGTAATAGGTGTGCCGGAAGAAAAGGGTCAGGAGTCCTAGACTCTGAGGAACGCTACAAATTTGGTCTCTGGAAAACCAAATAACTTCCCACTCTGATTTCCTAATTTAAGGGACATATAAAACAAACAGAAGGCCAGTTACCTTAACAAGACAGTTTGCCCCTAAGCACACAACACACAAGTGCAGATGAGATGCTTATTGTAGCAACTGGGAATAAATCCTCCTTTCCCCACAAACTTACTGTCTGTTCCCTAAGTTTATCATACAGAAACTCCAAGCGTTTGTTGGCATCATCTAGCTTCCTCTTGGTTTGCTGCAGGAGAAGAAAAACTGGTTTGTTATATCTGAACATTAACTTTTATCCAAAAAATTTGTCCTATTTCATTTCACTAAATCTTACACTGATGATGTCGAATAGCTTCATTTTATAAAGAAAGGGAGACAACTGTGACCGAGAAACCTGAACAGATTATCATGACAGAGGTCAGATCTCCTCATGGGAGGAGGACGAGAGGATGAGCCTCTTCCCTCCAGTGTGCAAACAGAGTACTGGTTGGATTTCACATGGACTACAAACTCACTTGAGCAGGTGTGTGTAAGCAACAGGCAAGGGCCATCTGGAGGCAACGATGGGTCAGTATACTACAGAAAAGAATGTCTAAGTATAGTTATTGCAAATTATGGGTGCTAGAAGGCAAACATATAGGCGAACTAGAATTTAGTTTTAACCTTCCAAAAATATTAGTTATGCACTTAGTCATTTGGTATATTTAATCCTGCCTCTTTCTAAGCCTTTGAAACACCAAGAAAAAAAGAAAATCATCTGGTAACTTAAGACTACTAAGAGGGAAGCAGTCAAATGAGTTCTTAAATTAAGGGGTTCCCCTATCCCATCCTAGTATTATAGGTATAGTGAGAGAAAACTACTCTAAAACCAAAATGAAAGGTTTGTAATTACAATGTGATTAACTTAAAGATCTACATTATACAGCAGCTTCAGAACTGACACTTATTGAGTGCCTACTATGTGTCATGCTGGGGACACAGTCTTACGTTTCATGAGTAGAAAAACATACTAAATAATATATACACTATACACTCTGTGTATAGTGTACATACTCATACTATACACTCTGTGTCAGGTGGTGATGAGTGCCATGAAGAAAAGTTAACAGGCCCTGGCTGGTTTGGCTCAGCAGTTAGAGCAGGCCCTTGGACCGAAGGTCTTGGGTTCAATTCCTGGTCAAGAGCATATACCTGGATTGCAGGTTTGATCCCTGGCCCCAGGCAGGGTCATGTGGGAGGCAACCAATTGATGTGTTTCTCTCACATCGATGTTTCTCTCTCTGTCTCTCTTTCTCTCCCTCCCTTCCCTTCCACTCTCTAAAAATCAAAGGAAAAAAATATCCTCGGGTGAGAATTAACCAAAAAAAAGAAAGGCCTGATGGCTAATAGAACATTGGAGCAGAGCCTGGAACAAGTGAGGAGAGAGCAATGCAGTTATGTGGGAAGAGTTTCAGGTATAAGAAGCAGCACGCACAAGTCTTGATGCTGACATGCTCTTGGTATATTTGAGGAAGGAATGTCAGCATGTCAGAGAGGAGAGAGGAAGAGATGAAGCTGTTGAAAATAACATTACAAACTAAGTTGTGCTGCAAAATTCCTTTGTGTTGTTTGGACGTAATTAAAGTGAAAATAGGAATAAAATCATATTATAAAAATGGTTCCAGCTGCCCTGGCCAGTGTGACTCAGTTCGCTGTAGAGTTGTCCTGTACTAGAAGGTTTCGGGTTTGATTCCCAGTCAGAGCAAATACCTAGGCTGCAGGTTTCTATTTATTTATTATTATTATTATTATTTTTATCCTCACCCAAGGACATTTTTGCATTTATCTTCAGATAGAGCGGAAGGGAGAGAGGGGGAGAGAGAGAAACATCAATGTGAGAGAGACACATCGAGTGGTTGCCACCCACACGACTGCAACCAGGGCCGGGGACAAACTGCAACCAAGGTACGTGCCCTTAGAGGGAACTGAACCTGGGACTGTCTGGTCTGTGGACCGACGCTCTAACTGCTGAGCCAAACCGGCCAGGGCTATGCTGCAGGTTTGATCCCTGGTTGGAGCATGTATGAGAGGTAACTGATCAATGTATCTCTCTCACATCGATGTTTCTCTCTCTCTTTCTTGCCCCACTCTCTCCCTTTCTTCCTCCCTAATACCAGCTTTTAAAAAGATGGTTCTAACTATTGATCGAAATGGACTGTGTGGAGGGGAACCTTTAAAGTCCCTGTTCAAAGTTAATCTCACATAGCCCAAGGGGGCAGAGGTAGCTGGGCAGGAGAGGATATTAGAACTTCTCCCCTAACTAGTTATAGAAATTACAGGAACAGTTTGTGCCTAGGGCTCCTGTGGACCCAGAAGGAAGATGGCATGGTGACTTAGAAGTTAAACTCAGTAAGAATTTACTGAGCTGGGCCATAAAATATGTGTCCTTCCAACCTCTCTATTATGACTCGTGCCTGAAGGAGGATTGGAGTTTTCCCACATTTCTTATGGGGATGCCTCTATTTTATAATGACTGTGGCCTATTTAGAAGTGTGCATAGGGAACAGTGTTTAAACTGGCTATCAGCTTCATCTGCTTCTCTGTACTAGCTTAGTCATTTGGTTAGAGTGTCATCCTATGCATGGAAGGGTCACGGATTTGATTTCCAGTCAGGGCACATAACAAAGTTGTGAGTTCGATCCCCAGCTGGGGTGTGTACAGGAGGCAGCCAACTGATGTTTCACTCCCCCTACACCTCTTTCCTTTCCTCTCTCTCTCTCGAATTACTGAAAAATATATACTCAGGTGTCAGGCACTAAGGTTTATGTTAAACTTTCCCTGCCTCTGCTTTTCCAATACTTTCAGTTCAGGGAATTGCTTTCCAAAAGACCAGCAGAAGGCTACACATACTAATACTCAATGTTGATGAAACAACAAATTCCAGAAGCTGTTTTTCAAGCAGACAAGTGGCCAGTGGCTAAATAAGTCTATTCAATGTTTGTTGGCAGAAACTGAAATTTCATCTAAAACAAAACTGGCTTTGTGGAGTTTTGTTGTTGCCAATACACAAGCATCCTCTAAGTAAACCAAGTAAAAGCAGTTGCTTTAACTATGAATATGACTCCAATATCTACAACACTTAACTATTTTTAAGATCTCTACAAAGTTACATATAAGATCATCTACTTTTGAAAGCTTCGATGTAAGCTCAGAAAGAAACCCCAAGTCTGAATTTCTTACATACCACTAATCTGTTCTTTTTATATGCCCAGCATGAGGTTTGCTGATGAGAAGCAGTACCCATAGTGGTTGAGAGCATGACTTCTAGAGTCAGCCTCGGTTTGAATGCTGGCTCTGCCCTTGGGTGTTACTGCTTTTTGCCTTAATTTCCTCATCTGTAAAATAAAGATGACAACTCTACCTACCATGGGGTTATTGTGAGGATTAAATAAATTTACATATAAAAAGTACTTAAATATGTTTTTACATCTAAAGCAAACTATGTTAAGTGCTACTAGCTTTATTACTTTTGTACAAACATTAAAAATATATCTTGGCCCTGGCCAGTTTTGCTCTGTGGTTAGAGCGTCGGCCTGTGGTCCAGAGAGACCCGGGTTTGGTTCCCGCTAAGGGCATGCATCTCGGTTGCAGTTTGTCCCGGCCCTGGTTGGGTCGTGTGGGTGGCAGCCACTCGATGTGTCCCTTTCACGTTGATGTCTCTCTCTCTCTCTCCTTCCCACTCTGTCTGAACAAAAAATGGAAAAATGTCCTCGGGTGAGGATAAAAAATATATATACATATATATCTTGTAGGACTTTAAGGAATAATTATAGAAGAATTTCATAAAGGACTATTTAAATTAAGCAAGACATTAGAAAAAATACATACAGGATCTGTGGCTGAAGAGAGACAGCGCTGAATAAGATCCTCAAATGTGGTCTTTAGAATGAGGTGCTCATCTGGAATAGGTTTCTTGGTAATTTTTTCTGTCGGCAAAGACTGAACATGCTAAAAGAAACAATACCACAAAATAAGTAGAGATAACCAGAAGCTACCTATACACAAAGCCCTGAAACCCTGTGATACAGAGAAACCAACTACTTTGTAGACAGGCTATTCAAGACCAAATGAAAATTAACATATGAAATCACTGAGATAAGTAAAAATGAAAATCAAATATCCAGTAGAAGGTATAGCTACTCCTCCTATAGCTTTGATTCTTAAAAATAGTGTTGGATATTAAGTATTTAAAGAATTATGGAACATATATTGATCACTATTGTATATTAACCAATGGGAACTACACCTGTGCCAATAAGAAGAAATAAAAAGAACAGGCATTTATAAAGTTGGCTAGTTAAAGCTTGCTCTGTTTGTTGGCTCATTTTTTTTATCCTGGCATTCTTCTATCCTTTGGTTTACTCTTAGAGGGTTATTAACCAACTGCAACATTAAGCCAAAGGTCAGGATAGAAAAGACCATGATGTTACTAAGTATTAAAATGGAAACACAAAGAAGGAATGTTTAAGTTTTATTAGTACATTTATTCAAAAAATATTAGGCCATTACGGGCCAGGCACTAGTTATGTACTGCTGAGCTAATACAGAAATGATCTCAGCCCTCAAGGAGTTTACAGGCTAATGGAAGAGAAAGAAAGTTTTTAAATGTCATAAAAGTAGCCTGGCCAGTGTGGCGCAGTGGACTGAGCATCATCCCATGGACTGAGAGGTCCCGGTCTGATTCCCGGTCAAGGCACATGCCCCGGTTGCAGGCTCGATCCCCAGTAGGGGTTGTGCAGGGGGCAGCCGATTGATGTTTTTCTCTCACATCAACGTTCCTACCTCTCTGTCCCTTCCTTTCTTTCTAAAAAATCAATTAAAACATATTAAAATATAAATAAATAAAATGTCATAAATGTATGTAAAATAGCAGCTGTGGTAAGCCGACAGATAATATAACTGATTTTACTTGCAGGGAAGGCCCTCTTCAGGGACTGGGAGGGTAAGCAGGAGTAAAGCAGTTACATGGGGGAAGAAAGCATTCCAGACTGAGGAAGAACATGTACAAAGAAAGGAAAGATCATGACACGAGAGGACTAAAAGGAGACCAGTGCAGCTAGAGCAGAGCATCAGGAGTATAAGCTGAGGGCTTTCCAAAAATGTGCAATATGTTGGGTTTTATCCTGAGAACAAAGAATGGGAAGCTGTAATTGTATATTAACCAGATACCAGTTGGATAAAGTAAATGCTGGCAGACCAGTTCGAGGCTCCTGCATTGCTGAAGACTGGAGGTGAAGGTAGAATAGACCTGACTGGAAATGTTGACAAGAAGGAGGTTGAGAGAGATTTTACAGTAATAGCAACAAGATTTGGGGATAGATTTTAAAAAGAAGTTAAAGGAAAAAGAATATTAACAGCTCTCCCTTTCAATGGTAACTGAGGTTCTAGTCTAGATGAGAATGGCATGAGCACCCGGGTTTAAACAAAAGTGAATAGCTGGGTAGCTTCCCAAATTAACATAGACTTGTAATCACAAACACACACGTGTGCGCGCGCACACACACACACACACACAACTAAAAACACATCTTTATAATTTATATTCTTGTGGAAAGAAGCAAGTCTTCCTACCTCCAACCAAATACTAGTTTTGTAATGCAACTTTTAATATTTAGGGGTTCCTTAGGCAGAACTGTCTCAACAAAAAAGCATACTCTTATGATAGAGATAAAATTGTTACAAATGTGAGTTCAATGAGTCAAAGACAAAAACAAAAGAACTAGTTTTATACTTGGGCAGGAATTTGTTTCATCTTATGTTAAACTTTGGCTCAAGCTCTTTACTTTTCATGAGCAGATCAAAATGTTTATCTTTGTATGTCTAAGTCAGGTAGATGGAAATGTCATCGATTTTTCATCATCTAAAATCCTGCCTACTAGCAGTTTATATGTGAAGAGCAAGTACAAATTTATATCTCCATCCAAAGATAAAGCAATATATAATTAGGTCTTATACATATACATAAGAAAAATAACTCATTACATTTTATTACTTTTTTTTCTTTATTGATTTTAGAGGGTGAGGAAGGGAGAGAAGAGACAGACAGAAACATAGATGAGAGACAACATCGATGGGCAGCCTCCTGCATGCCCCCCACTGGGAATCTGGCCCACAACCTGGGCATGTGCCCTGACCGGGAAATGAACTGGCGACCTCCTGGTGCATGGGTTGATGCTGAACCACTGAGCAACAACGGTGGGGCTATTTTACATTTTAAAAAGAAACACCTTTGAAAACAGCTTCTGCTTAGCAACCTTGAAGGCAAATATGGATTCAACTGAAATGTGGCTACTGATTAGGTATACTGTGATTACCAAGTTACTTGAAACATACACAAGCAAATATATAAGCCTCTTCTAGACAGTTTGTATATGGCCATGTAATTGAAAAATAATATACATACATAATTAATCTTTTAAAAAGGGTTACTTTTGCCTGGCAGTATGAGTCAGTGGTTAAGCATTGACCTATGCACCAAGAGGTCGCTGGTTCGATTCCAGGTCAGGTCACATGCCCAGGTTGTGAGCCTAATCCCCTGTGGGGGACAGGCAGGAGGTGGCTGGTCGATGTTCTCTTTCATTAATGTTTCTATCTCTCTCTCTAAAATCAATAAAGAAAAATAATGAAAACAAACAAAATAATAAATAAAAAGGGTTATTTTTTTATTCAGTTTGTCTAAATTGAAACCAAATTTGGATGTTCGTTAATAAAGGTGTAACCATAAACGTTAACACATTTTAAAAAGTTTACTGAAATAGAGCCATCTCTCCATTCTACTTCCGCAGACTTTTACTGTTACCTGGATTGTATTTCCAATAGGAGCTCCTGGGGCACCTTCAATATTGGGCTTTGAGAAAGATGGTGACATGCCTGATTGACCAAGGGGTTGCTGTATGCCATGGAAGGAGGGCTGGCCACCTGGAAGATGTGGCTGAGGGAATGAAGCTTGGTTTGACAGTGGTACTGGAGCTGAAGGTTGTTGCTGCATCATCTGTGACTGGGGGTCGCCCATGGGGTTCATGATTGGTGATGTGATGGGAACAGGAGGCATAAAGTTTTCAGGCATCTTTTAAAAGACAACAAAAGTAAGAAAAAAAATGGTAGCAACACTTGCTCAGTTTTAAATAATGGAGTTAGACTATTCCATGGTTTAAAAAAATGTTTTAAATAGAATGCTTTGCAAATGAAGTTTTGTGCAGAATTCTAGAATAAAACATAAAAGTAGAACTAATCTGGCTGAAAGGGGTAGAGAGATCAAACCTAGACCTCTGAGTTTTTCCTTTGCCATCCATACTTACTCCCATGAGGACCCAAAACCATGTTATTTTTTAAAGAGAAATGTTAAAGTCTGGACAATTCTATCTAATAATACTAAAATCAGATATGCCAAATATGTTTGTGTGTTTAATGTGATCACAATGTAATACTCTACATCACTAAGTGGATACTGCCTGTCAATTCAATCACACAAAAAGCAGCAGATTAAGTTTCTGAATATAAGTAACCTAAATACTGGATTTTCTTGCTGATCTGATGCCAATTTTATATTATGGTCTCTCATTACTGTATTTGGGGGGAGGAGATCTCTTTGAGTAAAAAGAAAGTTGAAAATGGCTTGGGAAGAAAGAAGGAAAGAAAATCTTATCTGCCCTGGCTGGTTTTGCTCAGTGGTTAGAGCATCGGCCTGCGGTCCCAAGAGACCTGGGTTCAGTTCCCACTAAGGGCGTATACCTCGGTTGCAGTCCCTGGCCCTGGTTGGTCGTGCGGGTGGCAGCCACTCAATGTGTCCCTTTCACATCGATGTTTCTCTCTCTCTCTCCCTCCATTCCACTCTATCTGAACAAAAAATGGAAATATGTCCTCGGGTCAGGATAAAAAAATATCTTATCTTGTGCTCTAACAACAGTTACTGACATCCAAATAATGCTCAGCTATAAGGATATTTCTTCATTCATATTACATGTGATAGACAAAATATAATTACCCAATTCATGATTACTGTTGAAACTACAAAACCAAAGAAATTCCTAAAAAAATCATTTGAGAAGCCTGAAATTTTGTTTCTTACTCTTTGAAAGAGACCTGTTGGGAATTTATATTTTGCCTTCTCAAAGAAGTTTAATTCATACCACCATACTTTCTTTCCTCCCCTTCATGGATTCGAAGGTATAAGCTGAAATACACTTTAAATACATCAATCAGTAAGCTTTGCCTTTAAAATGATAAGTTAAGTGTGGTGTGCTCCAGGTGGCTACATGATTAACAGAACATCTGTAAGCAATTGGGTAGACATCTTTCTCTAGTACCTTCTTCTTCTTGGGTACTCTGTTCAAAGCTGGAGGATCATTCCAACCATTCTGAGGACCTATAACAGATAATAGAGGCATTTTCCTTTAGAATCCTGGGAAGAAGAAAACGAAGTTGTGTATTAATCACAACTTAACCCTGCCTTAACCCTGAGATAACTGTCATAGAAGTTTTACCAGGTGAGCTGTGAGGATCACTATGTAGCCCTGGATTCTCAAAGGCATTACCTCTAAAAATAACAAGCATTGGCTTAGTAGGGAAGATACCCTGCTATTGAAGAAAGAGCTGAGCTAAAATTTAAGGACAGGGAAGTCTTTATGTCCATATTGAAGTATATAACCGTCAAAGATCTGTTAACAATTCTCTAATAAAGAAAAAATAAATCATTAGAGTCCGCTTTAAAAATATCTTCTGGCCTGGTCGATGTGGCTTAGTGGATTGAACGTCATCCTATGGACTGAGAGGTCCCAGTTCCATTCCTGGTCAGGGCACATGCCTGGGTTTTGGGCTCAATCCCCAGTAGGGGGTGTGCAGGAGGCAGCTGATAGATGTATCTCTCTTACATTGATGTTTCTATCTCTCTCCCCCTTCCTTTCTCTCTAAAAAAAATAAAAATAAAAATAAATAAATAAAAAATTTAAAAATGTCTTCTGGCCCCAGCCAGTTAGGCCCAAGCATTCACCAAAGGGTCTCAGGTTCGATTCCCGGTCATGGGCACATACCTGGGTTGCAAGTGCCATCCCTGGCCCTGGTCAGGATTGTGTGGGAGGCAACCAATTGATGTTTCTCTCTCCCTCCCTCCCTTCCACTCTCTCTAAAAATCAATAGAAAAAATATCCTCGGATAAGGATTAATAAAAAAGGAAGTGAGAGCCCAAGTATGCAACACCATAATTTTTATCATCTTTGCTTAGGAATTACAAAGTAGAAAAGAACATTCAAATATCTGTGATAACAATTTTTTTTAATGCTACAAAACAAACCCTAGGCGGGCAGCAAATATAAAATTCAACTACTGTCAACTTTAATAAATTTCCTCTTAAAAAAAAACCCCAAAATCCTGTCATCTCAAAAGTGAGAAATGGATATAAGTAGCAGAATTCATTAGCACCCCAATGCCAGTATCTTTAAAGGAAAAAAAAAAGGAATAAAACATGCCAGAAATAAGATAGGATAATTTCTAAATCACAATATAATCATGTTACATTTTATGGAGTTTTGTATATGTGTATATGTAAAGACAAAAATTACTCCTCTTTCAATAAATTAAATATTATTTCAGTCTTTTGCCTTTTCTTTTATTGACTTCCTTGATAGTAAATCACCAAATTGCTTAGCAAACCAAAGAACCTGTGATTAATACACAATGCCACAGAAGCTTTTTAAAAAACAAGATCTTCTCCTTCTAGCATGTACTCATCTGCCTTGATTTTAAAGATAGAATTTTCTACAAGTTTACTAGAGATAGAACTCCAAATGAGCTCCAAAACACTCAAGAACTAATCACAAAATCTTAAACCACATGTTGCTTGCTATCTGCTTAACAAACTCTTAAAATTTTGGTCAAACATAGATTAACCACTCAAATTTCTCCCATCACCTTCTAATCTTACTCATATCTAAGACAATCTTGGTATTGGCTTCATCAAAATGTCTATATATCAGACAGACAATTTTTATGATTTAAAGCTATTTGTGTCACCATGTTAATTCAATCAGTTCTAAAATCTGATTCATTAAGAAGCCAAATTTAAGAAATGATACTGATCAGATTTAAGATATCATCAGCTTTGAAATTCACATGCATTATTGTGAATGTCCAATCATTAATTGCATTCAATGTTTCAGTGATTTCCAAAAGAATATTTTAACCAATTCACCTTCCAACATATGTGCCTGGTCTTGCATAGACTGATTTTCTGTAGACAAAATGTAAAAGTCACTTAAACAGTATTATCATCAAAGACATTCTAAACTCTACTTTGCACTTAATTATTTCTTCTCCCTCCATCAGCTCCCAGAAAGAACAAACTAATTTTATAAGGGAATAAAACTTACTTTATAATCAAGTCATGTGAAATGTCAGTTTTTGGGTAAAGCAAATTCATTTGTGTCAGATCCAATTAACTCTTAAACAGCACTTTTTTCTCTTACTATGTTAGCTGCCTCTTTAAAAATTGTGTTCCTTCTTATTTGAAATATTTTTTCCCTGTTTGCATCAATTGTTTTTCTATTTGATCAATGCATCTCAGAAATACTACTGGAGGGAGAATTCTTCCCAATATATTATAACTAATGCATCCATTTTAGTATTATTTAAATCTGTGACTCCAAAGTAGCTGAAGATCTTGTTAAAGTGCAGATTCTAATTCATGGGCATAGTGTTGGTCCTAGGATTCTATAGTTCCAGCCAGCTTACAGATAATGCTAATACTGCTGGTCAAAACCCTCTTTAAGCAGTAGGTATTTAAAGAGAAATGTGAGGATTTCTACATTGGCCTGCAAAGATCAGCAATGCACTTGTTAAAGATAAGCATGTCAATCTTAACAAGGTGGTACCACTTCACTGGTGAATTTGGGAGGCCCCAAATGTCTGCATTCTGGAGAAACTGTCATTTCTGGGGTCACACCATGAATATGAATATACGTAAGAATAAGCCCAGTTAAAATGTCATCATCTCATTTGTTCTTTTCTGAAACATATGGATTTTCAGATTGTATAGGACAAGTCTTACAGAAATCACTGCTTCCCTTAAGAGAACTGTTTATTGGCAGAGGAAAGAAGGCTGAAAACTGACACAGTATTTCCAAAATAGTCAGATATTCTGGGTCAGGCCAGCCCCAACCTCAGATCAAAAGTATGCAGTGGAGGTACATTATATGCACATATAACTTACGGGAGTTCAATTACCTTCCCTTGAGGAGAGAAGAACCAAAAGAACATAGCAACTTAGTGAGTTCAATTCAGTCTGAACTCAAGCACAAGCCTCAGAGAAAACTGTGAGGTGGGAGAGGTAATTGCGTAGCTTGACATCTCACTGTGTGGAGTTTATGACTAAATAGTCTGCTATCCAATATGGCTCCTAAACACAAACCAACTTCTTCACAAAGGGCTTCACTGAAGAAAGGAGTGATCAAAAATAACTGACTGTAAGTGATTTCCTATTTTTGCCTTCAATGATGACTTTATAACCTACCTCCCCTGGCAAGATATGACCTCATAGCACTGTAGTGAACACTGGGAGTCAAGTGTGCACTATAACTGAGGACTGACCTGACTTGAAACTACTGATGTACTCTCTGGCACCTGACTTTGGCTTCTGGGCCAAGAGGTAGAGATATTATAAACCTAAAAGTATTGAAAATAACTTGGCCTTGACCCTTTTTTTCTGGAAGTAGTCCCAGCAACATGCTTTTCTCCCCTGGCTCATGAGAGGCAAGAGCAGAAGATGAAAGCAGTTTTTCCTCTAATCTCTCATGGCAGTGACTTAAGCCCTCGCTATTAAAGCCTGAGGGGGCATCCTGATTTCCCAAACTGTGAGTAGCACAAAAAGTTTATGGAACAATTATAGCTAATTGGCTAGCCTGCATAACTTGAGGCAGGGTGGTAAGGCTGTAGGATGGTGGGGTGTTTGTTGAATAGAATGTAACAGTTATACAACAATAAAGTTCCCACCAAAATATAAGTCTGACTCCTCCTGACCTCAAACCATGAAATATATTGGGCATGTTTTACTCCAGCCCACATAATCCTTGTTCAAATTTCTTATTAATTGAATGCTGTTTTGTCTCAGCTATAATTTTAACCCATTTCAATCTTTTTGATTTATGTCTTCAAACTATTAAATATGGCTTTTTAAAAACACAATTAAATTGACCTCTACTTTATAAAGACATATTTTAATAGAAACATCAGGTAAAGCAAGCTACATGAAGAACATGAATATCTACAGAAGATAGTATTATGGAGGTTCATTATGAATGTGCACAATGATACTCTTAGTCAACATTTAAAAAAACCAACACAACACTGTCTAATCTGGAACATAATTCTCTTATAAAACTGTAAAGAAGAGATAATCTTTTACTCTTTCAAAAGATTATAGAATGGGGATAAATCTCTTTTGTACTCTTTAAAACATGACATGATTTAAAAAGGAAAAAAAGGTTCCTGGTGTAACGTTAAGAAAAAAGATGTGTGTGGGTGTGTGTTTTGATCTCATGTGTTTAAAAATGCATGTACACAATGAGATACTACCTTCACACCCATTAGAATGGCAACAAACAAACAAACAAAAAACCCAGAAAACAAGCACTGGTGTGAATACAGAGAAGTTGGAACCCTTGTGCACTGCTGGTAGGAATGGAAAATGGTACAGCCACTACAGAAAATAACATGGCATTTCTTCAAAAAATTAAATAATGAATTACTATTTGACCCAGAAATTCTACTTCTGGATATATACCCAAAAGAACTGAAAGCAGGGACTTGAACAGATATTTGTATACCCATGTTCTTACCAGCATTATTTATAATAGCCAAAATGCCCATGTGCAGATAAATGCATAAACAAAATGTGGTATAAACATACAGTGGAATATTACTCAGTATTAAAAAGTAAAGAAATTCTGATACATGCTACATCACAGATGAACCTTAAAGACAGTGAAATAAGCCAGTCACAAAAAGACATATACTGTATTTTTTTATATGTATCTATTTATATTAAATACCTAGGGTAGTCAAATTCAGAGACAGAAAATAGAACAGTGGTTACCAGGAGCTGGGGGAAGAGGGGAGTTATAATTTCACTATGGAATGACAAAAAAGTTCTCCAGGTAGACGTGGTGACATACAGCAACGTGAATGCACTTAATGTTACCGAACTATAGCCTTAAAAATTATTAAGCCCTGGTCAGTTTGGCTCAGGGGTTAGAGCACTGGCCCATAGACCAAAGGGTGGCAAGTTTGATTCCTTGTCAAGGGCACGTACCTGGATTGTAAATCCGATCCCTGGCCCCAGTTGGGGTCATGCGGGAGGCAACCAATCCATGTGTCTGTCTCTCACATAGATGTTTTTCTCTCCCTCTCCCTTTGCACTCTATCTAAAAATTAATGGAAAAATATCCTCGGGTGAGGATTAACAACAATAACAGAAAGATTAAAATAGTATAAATTATATGTTATATATATTTTAACCACATTGAAAAATTTTCATTACATGCACACAAACACACACATATGTATATATGTATGTATGTACGTGTATATATATATGAAGGGAATAAATAAACCTAAACTAATGGTTATATTTGGGTGGTAGCCTTACAGCTAATTTTAATTTTATTCTTTATACTAGAGTCTTTCAAAATACTATAGTAAAGAATTAATAAAACAAGGAAAAATTAATTTAAAAGCTAAATACAGCATGTCACTGAATCCAGGAGATCAGCATCCACGTTACTGTAGGGATTAGTCCTCCACAGGTCTTCAGGGAAGAAAGCGGGAACCTGCTTACACACAGGAGTGGAGCTGCATGCCATCTTTACTTGAATCCCATTTCTCACTGGAACCCTTCTTAGGTATTCTTGCAGGAACATGATAGGACCTATGTAGTATTGGCTAAGATACTTTTTGGTGGATGCACAAAATATTAGCTCCGATGATATGGAGACTTTGGCTAGAAGGTAATTTGAGATGAAGAGAATAGAACATCCTTGTCAACAATATACACCTTCTTTCCCTACACGCCTAACATGTCACATTAAAAAAAAAAAAAAAAAAGGTGACAAAATTAAAATTGAGAAAGACAACAGTCTTTGAGGTCATTTCCAATGACATAAAACAGAACTTTCCAAAAAAAAAAAGGTTGAAATCAGGTCCTTATAATTTGACTAAGAAATATTTATGAAAATTAAAAAACGTTTTTCAGAATGGTGTTTCATGAAAATAGGCAGAATTATGTATGCCACCCCCTTCGAGACTCTTCTATGTGAAGAAACACAGGACCACATACTGGATTAAGTTCCCATGGTCTAACAGAGTCAATATTTACCCAAAGATAACTTCATGATAGTTTGAAGGTCATTTTATCAAAAAATATTTTTTAAATAAAAGTCTAAGGCCTTCATATTTGAAAGTTCTCACCCTTGGTAGTAACAGCATGCATTAAACCAAGGATTAAAAAAAGCAATGTAACAGGCAGTATCCTACTTATCCTAGACAGTGACACAGGGAAATCTTCCTGCTTCCTATGTTGCCACCACTGAACCAATATTGCACTATCCTAATGCAGGCTGTTACCACATTATACCTAGAACTGGGACAGGGCCTGTTTTCCTTGCCTGTGATTCTGCCATGCTGTCCACAATCTATTTTGTAGGGCTACAGCTGGATTAGCCTCCTTCAAGTACCAATTCAACCATGGCAATGAGCAGTTCAAACTCCTTCACCAGATCTTTTCTTCTTGCTATGTAAGTATAAAATTCTTGCCCAGGAATTTAAGACTTTCTAAAATATAGCCCATGTAAAATTTATGTTCCCACATATAACAAAGCTATGTGCTTGCTGTACACTAGAAATGCACTTTTTCTGCCTTCTGATCTCTACGTGGAAAAATTGTGATTATAGACTGAACAGACACTCATTAAGAATGTACTGAATTGAAAAAATTTACTGAATGAATTTTGTGATGATTGCAACATTTGTTTCTCTGAATGTGGGCACATTACTTTGAGGTTCACTAATAGTCAGAGGGCTTGAAAATCCTAGTTTCTGTCAAGAATCATCCACTGGACAAGCAGAATTCCTAAACCCTATAGAGACCCATGGTGATCTAAGATACATTAGAACACAGATAAAATTTTCAGTCACAATGATTTATAGAACCTAAGCAAACATTTTAGGAATAAATATGATACAGCTGTTACTGTTAATTAAAATAGAAGGGACTCTTAACATGCAAGAGGTAACAAAGCAGCTAGCTTAATGCATGCTGAATACTGCATATTTGGTTTCTTCTTCCAAATAGTTATTCTGTTTCTCAGCCAGGTTAGAACATTCTGTTACTTTGTATATAAGCAGAGACTTTTATCTCATGGCCAAATGCACTTTTGCTTAAGAAAAAAAAGACACCCATGCAAATATTTAACTTAGATAATGAAGTAAGAAATGCCTAAAACTGTATTGCTACATGATTTTTCTAATTCTAGCACTGATAGCTATTTCTATCACATTAGGACCAGACTATGTGGTAAAGAATGAACATGGCTTTGAAGAATGAGAGACCTAGGTTTGTATCTCAACTTGGAGACTATCACAGTGAGAAAATACAACATTATCACCGTGAGAAAATGATACAACTCCTAGAAAATTCAAATTTCCTCATGTTAATTAAAAATAGTAATTATTTAGCCCTGGCCAGTGTGGTTCCGTGGTTAGTGTCGGCCCTCGAACCAAAGGGTCACGGGTTTGATTTCTGGTCAAGGGCATGTACCCAGGTTGCAGTTTGGATCCCTGGCCCAGTCAGGGTGTGAGTGGGAGGCAATCAATCAATCAATATGTCTCTTTCACATCGATGTTTCACTCTCTCCCCCCCCCCCCACTTCCTCCCTCCCTTTCACTCTCTAAAACAAATCAAAAAAAGAAAATACTTGTCAAGTGCTGGTATGTGTCCAATGTACTTTCAATAAATGATAAATTAATTCCCATCTTTCACTTATGAACTCTAATTTCCAACTATTTACTGAAACAATGTTGATACTATCTTCACTCACCCAGGTTTTAAAAGGTAAGTGTAAAACTTTACAAGTGAATTAGCACTCCTCACTAAAATATCAACCTGTAATGAAAATTCTAGAAATTTTATTTGTGTAATAAAAGATGATACATAATTGTGTGTGATTTCTGGTACTTTGGACTTTAAAATTACATATCAAAGAAGAGAGGAGGAGATATGTATAATTCTGGATCCATAAGTCTTTGTTAGAAAAAAAATATTTCTTTGCCCTGGCTGGTGGCTCAATTGATAGAACATCGCCCCATAACCAAAAGGTGGCGGGTTCCATTACCAGTCAGGACACATACCCAGATTTAGGGTTTGATCCCTGGTTGGGGCACAGGCAGGAAGCAACCAACTGATGTTTCTCTCACATCGATGTTTCTCCTCCCACCCCCACTTCCTTTCTCTCTAAAAACCAATTTAAATAATTAAAAAATATATATTTCCTTAATAGAGTCTATTTTTTGATAAATGTTTTCAGAAATGAAAGCTACTGCTTCGTACATAAAAGGAAAAAAATATATACTGGACTTTTCAGGAGCAACTTCAGTATTAGGAACAAAGCAAGACTCACTCATCTTTCTGCCCCTCTAGTTCAAAACCATCAGTTATAATCTGAAAGAGAAACTATTTTTAACTACCAAAATGCACAGAACTCTAATTCTGAGTGAAGTTTTTGTATAATCAGAGCAAATTCTGCAGTCACTGTCCCTAAATGCTTTTAATGTATTCAATTCTCTTCATAAGCTTGTGAGTAGGTACTATTATTATTTTGAGGAAAATGAGTCTTAAAGAAGTTAAGTAACTTAACTCAAGGTCACATAACTAGAAAGCAGTAAAGCTGGAATACAAACCTAGGAAGTCTAAGTTCAAAGCCTGCATTCTTAACTACTACATTAGTGGTTCTTATGCCTAAATCACTGATCCCTTTTTATAGCACAGGACTTTGAGGCCCTTTTTACTATCCAAAAATAAAAATCAGATTATATAACCTAGACATAAAAAATTAACAATGTTCTAATTATAACATGAGAAAAAAATAATAAAACATGTATTTTGCTATAAAAAGAACTTAAAATTATAATTTTAATTAGAAAATTTCAGACACAACTATACTACTAGGGAACTAGACACCCTCCCTCCCCGCATGCGCCTAGAAGTTTCCCAAATGTCTGAGAGGACGGTACTGCCCTCATGGAGAAACAGCGCACTACTGTGCAATGACTTCTCTGTGTTAGTGAGCCTGTCCCTTGTGTTCTCTCACTTTTGTAATTTAGATAAGCATATCTCCTCACCTTTAAAAATAAACATAAAATTTGTACAAACTCACTAAGACTCTGTACTGCTTAATCTCCATGAGTAAGTTTAAGGTACAAATAATTTTAAAAATTGAAAAGTTCTCAGTAACAACATAGAGCATTGTTTTGTCCTAGTTAAAAAAAAAATTGTGTCAATTAAATCTGATTCCAACCACTACTTATCCTGCCAATTAATTTCTTACCACTTATTTTAAAGTCAATGTAAATTTTACACTTTTACTCCTTTGAAGCTCTAAAGCTTTCTTCATTTAGCAACTGAAGTTCATCATGAGAGAATCACACTTCTAGAAATAGTTTTAGGATTTGTTATAAAAACTTAATCAACAACTCACATTATCTAGTATACAGTTAGAAATAATTCCCCTCCATCCACCCATGTGTTCATGAAAAAATAAAGGAGGGAGCCCAACCAAATCCCTTTCAAGCTCAGACCTGTTCTTTGGGACGCAGGCAGCTCACTGGCAGCAGGCAGTGTACCTGTTGTTCCAGGAGGCAGTGCATAAGCTGAAGATGGTGGAGCTCCTGGTCCGCCATGCTGGAAGGATGCTCCAGAGGAAGGGGGCGGGGGGAGAGCAGCAGTAGGGCTGGAGGTAGGTGGAGAGATCTGGTGCTGTGCTGCATACAGCTGAGACTGCCCAGAATAGGAAGGAGCAGAAGATATATAAGGGGTGTTAGGATAAGCGTTTGAAGCAGAAGGAGCAACAGGCTGCTGAGGTCGATATGTTGCTGACCCCCCTGTTCCGAAGGAATACGGCTGGGCTGGTTGATAAGCTACACCAAGAAGAAGAGACAGAAATTTTCATTAGTTACAAGTTCATTCAAACAGCAACTGAAAACCAAAGTTATCTGATTCTAAGGAACTTGTTTCTATCATTCTTCTTATAACAATAAGTTACAACCAAACATGAACACTTATGTTAGCTTCTGATAGCTCAGATGTCCTAAATATACTAAAAGTCATTGGATTCTGCCCTGGCCAGTGTTGCTCAGTGGTTAGAGCCTCGGCCGGCAGACTGATAAGTCGTGAATTCGATTCTGGTCAAGGGTACACACCTTGGTTGCAGTTCGTCCCTGGCCCTGGTTGGGGTTGTGCGGGAGGCAACCAGTCCATGTGTCTCTCTCACATCGATGTTTCTCTCTCTCCTTACCATTTTATCTGAACAAAAATAGAAAAATGTCCTCATATGAGGATTAAAAAAAAAAGTCATTGGATCCCATTTTCTAACCTGCCATCTCCAAATTGCTGTGGGCTATGAAAATCTTTGAAACATCAGACCCAAGAACTGCAAGACTGACCCTTTTCCATACTAGACTTTGCAGGGGGATAATTTCATAAGGTATATAAATATCTAATAACTATGTTGTGTACCTGAAACTAATATAAAACTGTATATCAACTGTGATTGAAAAGTAAATTTAAAAAGTAAATTAAATTTTAAAAAGACTCAACCCTTTGCTGAGACTTCCTGTTCCTGTGAAAAGACTGCAGTGACACCTACTAGCCACCAGATGGAACCATGGAGGAATTACACGTCCAAAGAGAAATTACACATCCTTTACAATAAAAGTTATAGGAAGTTTGGTGGAGGCATAAAATTTATCCCACCATAAGAATTGTAGCATCAGCACTATTATAATGAATCAAATATCTTCTCCAATATTTAGTAAAATCATCAGCTATTCAAAGTCTGAGTTTTAGTCTCAAATTAATCATCAACTCTCTCCATGATCCTTGACTAAACAATTACTAAATATTTCATATACTGTACATAGTTGGCTAGTAAGCAACCAGGCAGCCAACTAATATTTTAATGCAATGACCTGAATTCTGATTAGAGATCTTAACACCATCATATTCTCCTTGAGCAGGGGTAGGTATGAACTTCAGAGTGAATCCAGTAGAACCACACTTGGTTCTACTCAGAATATAGCACTTTCACATTGACCACTTGAGTGAAAAGGTGCATCAAATCTGTATTCACATTAAGTAAGAATACCCACTTTAGCACAAAAACATGCTCAGTAAGATTAGCTCTTAGTAGGTCATGGCCTCGTTTTTGTTTTGCTTTTTGTTAATCCTCACCCAAGGATATTTGTTAATTGATTTTTTTTAGATAGAGTGAAAGGGAGGGAGGAAAGGGGAGAGAGAGAGAAACATCGATGTGAGAGAGACACATCGATTGGTTGCCTCCCATTCGACCTTGACCGGGACCAGGGATCAAACCTGCAACCCAGGTAAGTGCCCTTGACCAGAACTGAACCTAAGATCCTTTGGTCCTTGGCTGACATTCTAACTGCTGAACCAAACTGGCTAGGACAGGGTTTGTTTGTTTGTTTTTTTAAATAGTTGTTTAATCATCTAATTTCCCCCTTTGAGATTTTTATTTTTTGCTCTTCATTTAAATTTTATAATAGTGGTGAGGTATTACTTTCCAAGAGCAAATATTTTCTGGGGGTAAAAATGCCAATAGTGGATATATGTCATTATTATACATTTGTCAAAATTCACAGAAGGACCCTGGCCAGGTGGCTGGGTTCACTGGAGTGTCATCCCATACACCAAAAGGCTGTGGGTTTCACTCCTGGGCAGGGCACATACCTAGGTTGTGGGATCAATCCCTGGTCAGGGTGCATACAGGAGGCAACCAATCAATGTTACTCTCTCACATCGACATTTCTCTCCTCTTTCTCTTTTTAAATATATTCTCAAGTAAAGATTAAAAACAAAAAAGTCACAGAAGGTATACTACCAAGAGTGAACTCGAAAGTATGGCCTTTGGATGATAATGATGTGTCAGTGTGGTACAGGGTGTCAACAGTGGGGGAGGTTTGTGTGGTGGGGTGAAGGTGGTATATTGGAAATTTCTGTACTTTCTATTTAATTTTGCTATAAACATAAAATTGCTCTAAAAAAAAAAAAAAAGCCTATTTCTTAGAAAAAAAATAAATAAATAAGTGGAAAACAACAAATGTCACTTGGAACCATTTTTTCAAAAATGGTTTGTGTTATCTTGCTTGACAAAAAAGAATATGTACCAAATAATTTCTAAAATTCTTTTTTTCTAAATACCAAATCATGGGATAACTGACTCTTTTTAACAGGTCTTAGTAAAGACTCAGGAACAGGAGCCAAGTGTTCTGAATGGACTGACATAGGAGCTGTTTGCTAGCATGTTGATTTCAGGATTTTTCCTAGGGAAACAGTTTCTCTATAGCAAGGATTTGAGCCCTACACAAATTGGTTCTTTCTTTACTTGTTAAAACTGACTTAGTCACCCTTGGCTGGTTCTGCTCAGTGGTTAGAGTATTGGTCTACAGACCAAAGAGTCAAGGGTTCAATTCTGGTCAAGGGGTATGTACTTCGGTTGCAGTTCGGTCCCCACACCTGGCCGGGGTCGTGTGAGAGGCAACAAATCGATGTCTCTCTGTCTGTCTGTCGCTCTCCCTCCCTCCCTACACCCCCCTCCCTCCCACTCTATCTGAAGATAAATGGAAAAATATCCTTGGGTGAGGATTAAAAAAACTGACTTGATCATGGCTTAGTTACTATATTAGATAAGACATGCTGCTGTGAAAGGACCTCAGGATCACACTACTTACGCTGTGGCTGTGGATAAGGTGGTACCTGGGTGTGCATATGACCTGGAGATGGGGAAAGCTGAGCTGCGGCAACATTTGGGTTAACATTTCCATGCATTAAGAAACCTGGAGGTGGAGGATTTTCTCCCTAGGAAATGAGAATATGGCAAAAGAAGGATTACATTTGGAACTAAGAATCTTACCTGATGGATTTATAATCTCTGAAATGAAATTCTATTTTAAAAAACCTTATTGTGTAAGAAACATTGCGTTTTGCACATTCTATCTTCTTCAGAGCACACTTTCTGAGCAGTACGCTCTGAGTGATTTAAAGATCACACAGGTTCAAAGTAATAATCGCAATGAATAACTACAGATGCTAAAAGCCTCATAAAATAGTGTCAATGATATTTGTAAGTCACCAGGATTTTCCATCTCTACATATTCCATCCACCACTCCACACTTTGAAAATGTAAGTATAAATGCCACCAGGGAAGGTTTCTTCTCTTCAATTTCTGCAATGCTCCAAAAAAAAAAAAAAAAAAAAAAAAGTAGAAAGAAAGAAAATCTTCAGTGAAATCAGATTTAAACCATTGTTAGAACCTTGGTTGATGTTTTTCTGGCTCAAGTCAATTTAGAACTGCAAAGGAGGAGAGAAGGATAAGAAAAAAATTAATTATGCTAAAAACTGCTTGTTGCATCCTAAAAGCATTCAAATGTAACAAGCAGGTGAAGCGATGGGGGAGGGGAACTTGAGAAAGTGGGGTAGAGACTGACTATATAACTACATTTATTTAGGTGAGCAGAATTCTGCTCAAAGAGGAATAATGAAGGATATACCTGTATGTCAGAGAGAGAGGCAGCAGGTGGATGACTGGGAAGGGCGGTAGGAGTTTTGTTACTCCAGGTAGTGACAGTAGGGGCAACTCTAACCTGAATTGAACAAAGAAACACCAATCACAGAAAATAAAAAAATAAAAATGTTAAAAGAAGAAAAAACCCAAAAGGCTTTAGCAGCCATATGCAAAGCAAAACGTTAAGAGCAGCAAGATAGCATATTAGTCAGGCAATTGCTTTCAAAGTAGCTGGGATTCCAAAAGAAAAACATACATTTACAATAAAACAAGGGGAGGGAGGCAGTAGAAAAATAAATATGAAAACCTAAATTAAAGCACAAAAAACAATGCCATCCAAATGTCAAAATAGGGGAGAAAGCTAGGTCCTAGTAGGGAAGGAAAGAAGACATTCTGAGAAAAAAAAGGTAACAATAAAAAAGTTTTTTAGAAGCATTAATAGTATTCATGCTACTATTAGTTCTGCAAACATACTGCTTTAAGTTCCATTTTCTAGATTTCATTAGAGACACAAAAATAAAATTAGTCCCACATGAGGCTTAGAACCATATATATTCAGTCTAATCCCCACCCTTTACCATTGAGAAAACCAAGGCCCAGAGAAATGAAGGGGTGTGCTGAGGTCCATACAACACACTGGTGAAGGAGCCAGGACTGACTCCAGGTCTCCTGATTCCCAAGCCACTGTCTGCTATACTATATCATGTTGCTTACCCTGGAGTCCAGAGGTTTTCAGTATTTTTTTAAGCCATCAAAATCTTTTTTGTTAAGTAAACCTTTGTAGGAACTCCAATACATAAACAATTAATTGCAGAGATGTGCTGGTTGAAGTGGGAGTAGAACTCCTATGAATCTGGCCTTCCTTTCATTCCTTTACTACTGCCTATAAACATTCCTTAAAACCACAAGCCACTCTCCTCTTTCAGTATAGCATAAGCTTTAATCAAGAAAATCACTGCTTAATTTATGGTTAAATTTGTTTTTTGATGTTTGTTTTCCCAGGAAGATAAATATGCCCCAGGACATAAAAAGTAAATACTCTCTTCTCCCAATGTAGAAAATGCCTTACTACTTCAGTATTCTGAGAGACAGTGTGATCCAACTCATGGTACTTAGGAGTACTAGTCCCAAACTGCAAATTAATCAGCCACATAATGCTGAAAAATTCCAGTTCTGTGTCTTAAAACTCTGATTGGTTGCTTGACCTCTCCACCTCTCAGTTTTCCCAGCCATCACCTGATTTGCTCTACCTATGTCATAGACTTTCCAAGTAAAGTTTAATCTCCACAAAAGTGGAGAATATAATCTGTTTTGTTTGCCAATATACCCCTAACAGGTAGAATAAAGACAGGCACTCACAAAAGGCTCTCAAGAAATATTTGTCAAATGCATGAAAAACCAAAATTCAAATGTAACCTATCCTGAATTTAAGTACTCACCAAAAGTGAAATAGACCAAAAATCATGGTTTAATTTTTGCTCCCAAATGGAGGTGGAGTGACTGACGCCTGCTATGGAGCAGTACCAAGCATGGTTTAATTTTTAAAACATTTTTCATAATTTTATATTTATGCTGCTATAATGAAATAGAAGACCCTGTCAATTCTATCAGCAATTTGTTCTATTTTAAAATGGGCATAGTAAAAAAATAAAATAAAATGGGCATAGTACCTGTTAACTTCGTTATCAATCAACACCATTTATTACTTATGAGAATATACTTTTCCTTTAAGAACACTAAGGTTATCTGATGGATATAAATAAATCTCTACATAAAATAGTAAAAGACAGTAAAGGTTACATTTTATGCCACTAAATATTTGGTAATTTTAATTTAATATATTAATTAATAAAAAATATTTAATCATCTTCACATTCCCTGTGACTTACAATTTCATAAACCTTTGGTCACTCACATCTCTCTAATATCTAAGTCTTCCCTCAAAAGTGTGCATTCTCAGTATTCCTTATAGTGCAGATACAGAAGACACAGTAACCTACACTAATGACTCAGAAAAGCATACTAAAAAAAAAGAATCTTTTCTAAAAATATTTTATAAAATTAACCACAAAATTGTTACCACTTTACTTGCAGTTAGATGAATCAAACTGTAAAAGTTTCAAAAACACATGTATATGTGTAAGAAAAGTTTGTGATGGAGAAATAAGAAATCTCCCTGGAAAGCATAATTTATATCTAAAATATAACCTACTGAACTAAATTAAAAGGATAATTTTAAAACACAGATCTTGCCCTCACCAGTTTTCTCAGTGGTTAGAGCATCAGCCCACAGGAAGGATCACAGGTTCAATTACCGGTCAAGGCACATACCTGGGTTGCAGGTTCAATCCCCAGCCCTGGTTGGGGTTGTGTGGGAGGCAACCAATCGATGTGTCTCTCTCACATCGATGGTTCTCTCTCTCTCTCCCTCCCTCCCTTCCACCCTCTATCTAAAAATCAATGGAAAAACATCCTTGGTGAGGATTAATAACACCAAAAAGAAAAGTAAAAAAAAAAAAAATCTTAAATACCACTTAGAAGAATATAAAAAGTGTAATTACTAAAACAATATGTTGTCTAGTTTTATCATAGCAGGTAAAGTCTGTTACCCAACCAACTAAAACCTCCAATTTGAACAGAAAGACATAAATCTTCCTACTTAATATGGACCATATCACTCACATGGGGATAATACTGTTGAGTCGGAACTCTTGGCATCTGTGTGTGGCCAGCAACTGGTCCAGGCCTGCCCTTGGGAAGCTGCTGCCTCTCATAAGGTACTTTAGGCGATTCCTGTCCTGGTATAGGCTCTCCTTGTGCTCTGTAAAGTCTGTCACGAAGCTGCACGATATTTGGCTATAAGAAGCAATGAAAGAAAACAATGCAAATTATTAGAGTTCACCCAAATATATGACAGCATGCTGACTTTCTTTAAGTACAGTGGGACCTCATTTCTTGAGCTTAATTAATTCCAGAAGGCTGTTCGAGAAGCAATTTGTTTGAAAACCAAATCTTTTTCCCATTAGAAATAATGTAAATTTAATTAATCTGCTCTAGACATCTACATTGTTCTCAAACTTTTCCTTTCACTTTGCTGCTATCACTAACTTTTCTTAGGACCCATGGTGACCTACTATATGTATTTAATAATAATAAGTGGCAACAAATCTCCTCATAGGGCCACCCGATCCTCGATGCCAACTCTGAATGCCATCTGGCCTGTCGATTCCACCTTTAACCTCGCCCCACAGCAGGAGGGTGGAGTGGAGCCAGCATGCCAATGGCCAGGTGGGAACAGGTGCTAGGAGTCCTGTAGGGGGTAGGGGAGAGGGGCAGGTGTGAAGTCACATGGGGGGAGGTAAAATTTTAAAATATAATAGTAATAATAATAATAAGCAGCAGCAACAAAGCCAAAAACCTGAAATATTCACAGCACAATTTCCTGAGATGTTAACACAAGTTTAGCAGTAAACAGACATACTCGTACATTCTGTTTGTCACCTGAGAAACACGTGATTGATCCCACAGATATCAACATGAAAGTCTTGTCAGGTCGAGATCTGAAGTTTTGTTAGAAAACTGAGGTTTGACTGTAAACTTGACCATTTATGCATTTGTTCATATGCTGTGTATTCTACAATAGACCTTAGCACATTATGTATTTTATATCATTTTTAATTTTTCAATTATAGTTGTCATACATTATATCAGCTTCAGGTGTATCCTCCAGTAATTAGACATTATAAAACTTATTAAGTGATCATCCCAAAATATCTCATACCTATCTGACATCATACATAGTTATTAGAATATTATTGACTATATTCCCTATGCTGTACTTTATACCCCCACAACTACACTGTAACTACTAATTTGTACTTCTAAATCCCTTCACCTTTTTCACCCATTCCCCCTAAGCCCACTTCCATCTGGCTACCATCAAAATGTTCTTTGTATCTGAGTCTATTTCTATTCTGCTTGTTGATTCTGCTTTTTAGATTCAATTATTGATAGATATGTATTTATTGCCATTTTATTGTTCATATTTTTTTTCTTCTTCTTAAAGAAGATGCTTTAACATTTCATGTAATGTTGGTTTGGTGGTGATAAATTTTAGCTTTTTCTTATCTAGGAAGCTCTTTATCTAACTTTCAATTCTAAATTGACAGCTTTGCTGGGTAGAGTAATCTTGGTTGTAGGTCTTTGTTTTTCACCACTTTTAATATTTCTTGACACTCTTTTCTGAGCTTCAAAGTTTCTGTTGAGAAATCAGCTGACAGTCTTATGGGAGCTCCCTTGTAGGTAACTAACTGCTTTTCTCTTGCTGCTTTTAAGATTCTTTGTCTTTAACCTTTGGCATTTTAATTATGTGTTTTGATGTGGGTCTCTTTGGCTTCATCTTCTTTGGGATTCTCTGGGCTTCCTGGACTTGTATGTCTATTTCTTTCACCAGGTAAGGGAAGTTTTCTGTCATTATTTTTTCAAATAGGTTTTCAATTTCTTGCTCCCTTCTTTCTCCTGACAACCCATGATATGAATGTTGGTACACTTGAAGTTGTCCCAGAGTCTTTCACTGTCTTCATATGTTTGGATTCTTTTTTGCTGTTCTGATTGGGTGTTTTCTGTTTCCTCAAATTCCAAATCTTTGATTTGATTCCTGGTGTCCTTTACTCTACTGTTTATTCCCTGTGAATTATTCTTCATTTCAGTTAGTGCATACTTTATTTCTGACTGGTCCTTTCTTATGTTGCTGATGTTCTTGCTAAGTTCCTTGAGTATCCTTATTGAACTCTGTCTCTGATAGTTTGCTTGCTTCCATTTCATTTAGTTCTTTTTCTGGAGATTTCTCCTGTTCTTTAATGTGCAACATGTTTCTTTGTGTCTGCATTTTGGCTGCTTTCCTGTGTTTGTTTCTATGTATTAGATAAAGCTGCTATGTCACCCAGACTTGGAAGAGTGACCTTGTGTAGATTTTCTGTAGGGCCCAATGGCTCAGCCATCCTAATCACCCAAGCTGGGCACTTCAGGTGCACCCCTGTGTGGACTGTGTGCACTATCTTGTTGTCGTTGAGCCTTGAATGTTGTTGGTGTCACTGGGAGAGAATGACCTCCAGGTCAATAGTCTGTGAGGACCAGCTGTGACTACAGCCAAAGAGCTGCTGTGTAGGAGCCAATCCTATGGAACAGGACTTACTTCAGTGAGGGACTCCTCACTCCTCTGGGGGAACCTCCTCAGCCAAGATATCCCTGCTGATTAAAAACCACCACACGTGGGTGTGCGACCAGTATGTTCCACACCTCCGTCCCTCCTACCAGTCTTGATGTAGCTTCTTTAATTCCCTAGTTGTAGGACTACCATTCAGCCAGATTTCAGACAATTCTGAATGATGGTTGTTCTGTAGTTTAGTTGTAAGTCTGATGTGGTTGTGGGAGGAGGCGAGTACCGCTTTAACCTACACTGACATCTTGACTCTCACAAAGTACTTTTTTCAGCACCTTAGGTTTTGACATCATTCTAATACTCAAGACTTGACACCAAAGGTCCATGATATACAGCATAACTTATAATTTAACTGAGGCAGTGATTTGAATTATGCCTACCACATGGTAGCATGCAAGATCAATGTCACTTCTCATCACTGGTCTTTTGTTGTTTTCTTGTAGTTTGGTAACACTCACAAATTACAAAAGTAGTTTAAAAATATAACTTTCTTTGTAGGAAAAAACATGGCCCCAAAAGAGAATCAACTGCTAAAGAGATGATGAAAGAAAATGGTAATCTAAGAAAGAGATAAAAATTAATTTAAAAAGATGTTTGAAATAAGAGTAAGATGTCAAACTCAAAGAATATACAGATCTATAACTATACAGATCTACAGTATGAGCAAACTATATACATTCTACATTAACAACAAAAAAACAATGTTGAACTGTTTCAGCAAGAATTCATTTTAATATCTTTAAAAATGATACATTTCTATAAATTCATATCATTTAAACATTTTAGGTATTCTTTGTCTTCTATGGAGGATAACTGTATACTATAATGATATCACAAAGTCTCAGAACATATTCCCCAGAAAACACTAAGGGAATACTGAGATACATAAGAGGAAGCAACACTAACATTATATTTGTACACAGAATGTTCTTTAAAAGTCCAAAGAAAATCATAAAGAATAATGGATAAAAAAATGTATGTGGTTATAAATGGTACTGAAAGTGAAGAGTTTAATTCTAAGGCTAAGAAGATCTAAATACCTTAGATTTAGTCTTTTTTGTTTTTTTAATCCTCGTCTGAGAACATTTTTGCATTTAACTTCAGAAATAACAGGAGGGAGAAAAGGAGGGAGAGAGAAACATCGATGTGAGAGAGACCCATCAACTGGCTGCCACCCACATGACCCCAACTGGGGCCAGGGACAAACTGCAACCAAGGTATGTGCCCTTAGCGGGAACTGAACCGGGCTTCTCTGGTCCACGGGCCGATGCTCTAACCGCTCAGCCAAACCATCCAGGGCTTAAGCTAGTCTTAAAATAAAGAAATAAAAGGGTCTTATAGCTCAATATACAAATGAGACCTGCCATAGCCAGTGTGTCTCAGTTGATTAGAGTGTTGTCCCATATACTGAGGGGTTGTGGGTTCGATTCCTAGTCAGGACACATACCTAGGTTGCAGGTTCAATATACAGTCTGCTGGAGTTTTCTTTCCTTCCTCTTCCCTCCCTCTTTCTCTTTCTTTCTTTTCTCTCTCTCTTCCTTTTCTCTTTCTCTCTCTCTCCCCTATTCCCCTCTAAAAAATAAAATGAGCCCTTACTAAGTGAAAAGTCATATAAAACTATTAAGCTCAAGTCATTATAAAGACTAAGTTTCCATTCTACCTAATATGCTCACTAACAATTTAGAAAGATTTGAGCTGTCGCCTACATGTAAGAGTATATAAAACCAACTGGATAGTCATACCTCCACAGTCCTAGAACACAGATGTGTTTTTACTCAAGAAAACTGACTGATACAGTAATTCCCTAGAACATACAAAATACTGAAACCAATTATAACTAAAAAAAAAAAAAAAATTCATAAAAACAGAATAAACTTTACAATAAAAAGTACAGAAATAGTCCAGCTGGCATGGCTCAGTGGATTGAGCATTGTCCCATGGACTGAGAGGTCCCAGTTCAATTCCCGGTCAGGGCACATGCCCAGGTTGTAGACTCAATGCCCAGTGGGAGGCATGCAGGAGGCAGCCAATTGATGGTTCGCTCTCACATCAATGTTTCTCTCTCTCCCTTCCTCTTTCTCTAAAAAATCAATAAAATTATTATTTAAAAAAAAAACTATAGAAATAAAGTATTTGTAAGGCCTAAAATTAAGCTCTGTCTCACAGTGGTTATATAAAACTTTCCTCAAACCCCACCCTGACTCCCACCTGGGCCCCATTATGGATTTTAGGTTTCTCTCTTCTATGTTCTCACAGCACTACCTCTATCACAGCACTCTGCAATTTCAGAATTTCATGTTTATTTTTCTACAGTCATTTAGAGTTTGGAAACTCCCTCAGGGAAGGGATCTTGACATTCTTGCTCATCACTGTATACTCAGTTATTGAATTAAAACCAATACTAACCAAAAGCCTGAGTGTTATTGCACACCAAATAAGGAAACTAAATTAGGAGTGTAATGAAGTTCTCTTTGCCTTGAACACTTTAAAAATATGCTTGCCCACAGATGGTATCAGACTGAAATGGCAAATAGAATTAATTTCTTCACTAATACCTGGGATGGAACTTGTGGGAAATTTTAAATTACAACCCACTAGTCTCATTGTTAACACTAATAGCTTTTCAACACAGAGGATTCCTACAAAGGATCTCTACACAGAATTAGCATTTTGCTTAAGAAACATAAAGTTCGCCTGGCTGATGTGGCTCAGTGGTTGAGCATCAACCCATGCATCAAGAGGTTGCCAGTTTGATTCTGGGCAGGGTACATGCATAGGTCGTGGGCCAAATCTCCAGTGGAGGGTAGGCAGGAGGCAGCCAATCGATGCTCTCTCTCATCAATGTCTCTCTCTCTCCTTTCCTCTCTCTAAAATCAATAAAGAAAAATAAAAAAATAAAAATACTGAGTGTTATCTACTGGACTCACCTTACTCATATATTAGAATAAGAAAAATGACCAATTCTAATTACCTGGTTGGTGCTTTCAGGAAGAAAAGCCAAGGCTGCAGCAATACTGCCCTGGGCTGCCAACAAATTTGCATATTGACTCATCTTCTCAGCCAAAAGAACTCCTACAGTATTAGTGTCCGTGGCTTGGGTAAGTTGTACAGCTTTTCGTAGGATGACAACTTTCTCAATCAGATCCTAAATGAGAAAAAGAAGGGAGAGTAAAAGAGAAAGAAAAAGATACAAAGATGTTTATGAGAGGAAACAGGAAAAGATAAAAGAGTTACTAAGATTTTCAAAATCTACTAAAAGTACAGTACCTATCATCATTTCTCTTAGAAAAGTCTGGAATAGCTGACCACCATTTAGGTAACTAAAAAAGTAAGGAGGAAAAAGGTCTCTTACTCATGAATAGGGCATAGGTTACAATCTTCTCCTAAATATCCTTAAACTGCCAGATACTTGTGAGGTAAAAGAGGCATATATCCAAAGGGAAAATGATAGGCAGATGTCTGAAGGCAGAAACTTGGGTTTCAGCAGATATAGGAGAAACCATGAATGAAGACATCATACTTTCTGTATTATAAAAGTAGTATTACTATAAGGTGACCTCCAAATGGGCTACTTTAACCCAAAGTTTCTCATGTTACTCTTCAATACCAATTCTTTCAAAAACAGGGAGCGATGCTTTGGGTATAAAGCACAAGAATATCCTACCTATCTGCCCTTTGTAAGCACGCAAACCCAGAAGTGTGAAACAAGTGTGTTTCTTCTTAGAAACACATAAAAGGAAAACCTTGATTTCATACCAGATTTTCAGTTTCAAAAAAGTGATCTTTAAAGCAACAATCCTACTAAAACACCTCTTTCCAGAAAGAAAAAGAAATATTAGACTGAAATATCATGAGACTCTGCTGATTAAATGCTTAGGAAAAAATTGAAATATAAAATTACTCATTGCCTGAGAATAATTTTTTTACTTCCTTGCTTGTCCATATGTTAGTGCTACATGGGATTACACTGACCTCTTACTTTCATATCCCCTTAAACATGAAGATTCTCTATTGGTACTGGGGATGCCTCCCATTCGTTACCCCACATTGCTTCTTTCTTTGCCCAAAGCAGACAGGGTCACTAGAGGCAGAGAGGAGCATGAGGAAAAGAGGTAAAGCAAGGGCTGTTTTCATGCTCTTGCCACCTACTTCCCCCAATAAACTACCAAATCACAACTTTGATCTCACAAACAGTTACAATCCCATTTAACTATCCCATCATTTCAAACTTTGTCCCTCCAAATACAGCAATAAATACACATAATTATCCAGCAAAAGAACTTCTAAAATGTAAATAAGGGTGAAAGCAATGAACTTCTGGAACGAACAAATCAATTTCTAGACTATAAGTAGGGCGAAAGACAACTAAAAAGGAAGCACCCTCTGTTTCAAAGATACTAACCTGAAGGGACAAAGGATTGCTTCCATCTTGAGCTTTAGTCCAACATGCAACTAATTTCTCTACATTCCCTGCACAAATATAGCACAGACATGCCTGAGTCTGCAGGAGGCTATCACCTTCACTTTCAAGCCTGGTTCCCAAAAGATCTACAGATCAAGAGGAAAACAAAATAAGATTATACTCAAGGCAAGCTATATGAGAGATTGTGAGCAGCCCAATAACATTTCCAGAAGTATTAATTCAACTTCACATTCAGTAAGTAGCAGGTAGAAACAGTCACTCTGTCATGTAGATGCTCAGTAAATATTTGTCAATTGAATGAAAATGTGTGACAAATTGTATACAATGAACAACTTCACAAAATTCTATACCTAGTTTTAGATGAATTATATTAGGAAAAATAATAAATGGAAACAATATTTAACCTAATCAGCATTTAACTCCATTTCATCACATCAGATGCGTTTGTACGCAGCAGTCTAAAATATGGCACATTTGGAATAAACAGCAGTAACAGCTAGGATTACTACAAATTATTTATAATAATAAAGTTAGTATCTTATAATTTTCACATTCTTATAATACTTTCACGGCAGCAAATTGCTCTCCCTGCTTATACTAGGCAGCCTGAAGTTTCTGTTCTTGCAAATAATAAATAAAAATAAAAAAACTTTACCCACCAGTTTGTCTATTTATTTATTTTTAACTTATGTTTATTGTTGAATGTATTACAGATGTCCCCTGCCTTTCCCTCCCATTGAACCCCTCCTCCCCACTCCCTTTACCCATATTTAGTCATGGCCTTCAATGGTAATTTCTATTCAAATGTTATAATTATTAATTTTATCAAGCTAATATTTATTAAGTGAGAGCTGACTATATGCTATTTTACATATGAATAGACTAAGACTTAGAAAGTAACTCTGACTAGGTCATACAGCTAGTAAGTAGCAGGGGCAAGACTCCCAAGACTGGTCTGTCTGAAACCAAAATCATTAAATAGTATTATTAAAAATAATGACTAGATATGGAGAAGTAATGTAGTTAATAATTCTGAAACATTCAAATGAGAACTCTTTTTTTCCTATTTGTGACTGGTAAGTTTACAAAGATTTCTAATATTTGTCAATTTTATTTACAATACATCATGCCATATACGTAATATAAAGCTCATTTTCTTACCACAAAGGGCTGAAAACTCATCAGGTTTAGCATAAGTCAATACTGCAGCTAAAGCCTCTCTCCAATTTTTAAGGTCACAAGACTCAACAATCTCTTTCCAGTTCTTCATCACCACTGCAGTAATTAGCTTGGGAAAGGAAAACAAAGGAAAAATTAAAAGCCTTTGGTATATAAGTAAAAATTAACTTTGGCTAATCAATTGTATCTTTCAAAAACTATTATTATGCATAGTTTCATGTAGAATAAAGCAGCAGCAAAGTGAAATATATCCTTGAACCAACTGACACAGAATATAGTATTATTTTTCTTAAAAAAAAATCACATAAGCATACTTTTTAAAATTCTAAGAAGGAAAAGTATAGAGTGTTATCAAAACATTAAACAGCAAGACATGATTTGGTCTGATGGACCAAGAAAAACTTTCTGAGCATACAGACATTTGAGATATGAAGTCAGAATTAACTTCATCATGAAGGAAAAAAACATCCCAGGCCAAGGGAACACTAGGTGCAGAGTCCTGAGAGAGAAAGGCACATGGAGCTGTGAGGAACTGAAAGGCGGCTAGTGTGGCTAAAAGAGAAAGTGACATGAGACAAGGCTAGGAGACTGACAGCAACCAGTGCTGGAAGGACTAACCCTGGGACAACTTTTATTTTTAAAAATTCAGTAACATGAAGCAGGGGCTTAAAAATGTTTAGATCCTCTGTACCAGAAATTCCTTTCCTAGGACTACAACCTCATTAAATATTTAGAAATTCACACAGATATTTAGACATAACAAGGATGTTTAATCACTAACTTATCTGTATTAGGAAAATGTTATAAACAACCTAAACACCCCAAAATAGGAAAATAATATATCCTTGCTATAGAATATTATAGAACAATTAACATTTTTTATAAAAATCTTTAAGAATATGGGAAAATGTTTGCAATATAAGTGACAATATTCATAAGCAAAACCACACACATATATACATATATGATCCTGATTATGTTGTTAAAAGTTCTACAAATACATAGGAAGAGGTATAAAAAATTGGAACCAATTTGAAATTGAGAAGTATCAATTTGATAGAAGAGCTAGGGGTGTTAAATTTTTATCTTTAAAATTTTCTTTGTTCTATTGAAAATTTTCTACAATAAAAAACATGAAAAGTATTACTCATTAAAAAAGTATATATGCAAAGAACAAAAAATTGAAATAATCATGACAAACTATCAACAATAACTATTTCTGGGTACATAAATTATAAATTTTTTGTCGCCGTTGTTGTTCTTTACTGTTTCCTGCATTTCAATTATCTATAACAGCAATTTTCAACCAGTGTGCCATGGCAGGCACACAGGTGTGCTGCAAGAATTTGTAAAACATGCGATACCTGACTATTTACTCAGGGGCACCGACCTCTTTTCCCTTAGATTGTCAAATAAAAAAATTACAACAGACAACACAACAATAGCTGTCTGGTATGAATGAAACAAAATTATACCTATTTTTTTGGTCAGATCAGCAAAAACTATATTTTTTGATGTGCGCAGAATTTTTGTAATTTATGTGTGCCATGAGATGAAAAAGGTTGATCTATAATAAAAATGTATTGCTTTTATAATCAGATAAAAGTTACTGTTTGGTTATCTATCTTTAAAATAACATACCCTGGTAATTTTGCTTTGGGATTTTGCAAAGAATTTTTTCTGGGTTCGAGCCAAGAGTTCTTGTCCACCTGCTATGGCCAATATTATGGCATCAGCCATGCGGTTATCATGTAAACAAAGGTCAACAGCACTCTCAAAGTTACCCGTCAGCAAAGCCTGAGTAATTAAACCATCAATATCTGCAATAAGGAAATAAAACACCCAAGTTAAATAAAGATTTTTGTCACAAGAGAAAACACTACACATATCAACTTTTACATGCACACACAAAGGAGGAAAAAAGCTAATCTCTGATTAATTTCTAACATAAGCTGTTGAGATCTATGGAAATATACCAACAGCATTTAAGCAAAATCAGGTAGAATAACACATTTTCCAGATTGCTTAAACTGGAGTAACAAAGATCATTATACTGTTTCTATCACATAGTTGCCAGAATATTCCACCATTTCTAAGGCATAATTACACATAAATGATAACTGAGTTCTATCACCTGTAACATTTCTAACTTAAACTTAAGAATTATTTGCTTTCAAGCAGTTAAAAAAAAATTAAAAGTAAAAACAAACGAGTACTTACCTCCACTGATGGAGATGTTAAATGGTCCTTCAGCTGAAGGTAGAAATTCAGATTCTTGTTTTTCCTTTTTAATGTGCTAAAGAAACAAAAGGGCAACAATTTACCAGACTGAAATTGTGGAATAATTTTCTGGCAAAACAAAATTTATGTATGGTTATTTACCTACTGACTGAATGACATGCCAAGTTATTCCAGAAAAGTACTCAGATCCAAGTTTACACTTAAGACCTACGACTTCCCTATGGATTAATGCCTATTATACAATCATAAATAAAATCCATGATCATCATAAGTAATGTTAAAGAAACTTAAGTATACATCTCCATTTTTGGTAGCTCAGAAGTAATTGAAGCTGGGGGTGAGAAGAGATAAACCAAAGAACTTACATGCATATATGCACAACCAATTGACACACACATTAGGTTGGGGAAAGCAGGAGGGGGATGGGAGCGGGAAGGAGGGAGTCAATGGGGAAACAGGAGAACATCTGTAATACTTTCAATAAAAAAAAAAACTGGAGCTGAAGAATCTTTGTTTTCTTAGATACCTCAAGTAAGAGTAGCTTGAAACTTGCAAAATACTATGTTTAAAGCATACTATACTTAGATTTAAAAACAACTCTGCTTCTGCACACCTAGAATTTTCTGTCCACTAGCTTTAATTATAGGGTCTTTTTGTTTTGACTGAATTAGTCATGAAAAATAAAATCATTTGGTATCCTTACATAAGTGCAATTTAAACAGATTGTTTATGAATATACTACAATTATAGATTTTGTGTTCTCTTCAATTTAGTCGTACCCAGAACAGCAGATTAGTCTGGTAAAAATATATATATTTCTGTTATAAATTTCTGAGACTACGCGTAAGACTGAGTAAATATAAATTCAGCATTGTTTTTCTTTAGGAGAAAAGAAATATAATGGAGGCATATTGCTAGCAAATACTTTAAATGCCTTCTCTTCTATGCATAGAACTTCAAAAAAAGACAAAAAATAAAATATATCAAAGAGATAATGGAAAATTTTAAAGAAAAGTACAGCTATCACGCATAAGATAAAAGACATATTTCTGTGCTTGTTACCTACACATCTGAATGTAAAAGCGCCTAGTGTTCAAAGTCAGGGTCTTTTTGGATTGGGTAATGTTAGTGCAGAGCACAGCATATCATATGTAAATGATGCTTAATCAGTTAATATGGACTATTACAGGAGAATGACTATAAACGTAATTTTTTGTCCAACTAAAGAGGAGCATTTTCGAATGTATAAACTCATACAAAAGAATATCAGAACTTAAGTTATTCACATTAAGGACTAAGTCAGATACAGATCTGATTATATTTACTAACAAACTCATCAAAAAACCCTGTTTCTTTTCTTTTAGCTCACAATTTTTCAAATTTGCTTTATAAAAACTATTCATAAACCTTTATTTATAAACTTGTGAAATATACATAAGGCCAAAAAAAATGGACCAATTATTACATGTTGAGTGTCTTCAATGTGTAATCTACTATGTTTGATAAACAAATGGCATCAAGATAAGGGAGAAGATTTTATCTTAAACACATTTTTTTTCAAATACTCTGAAAGCACACAATGATGACTACTGTTTTGTTAAATACATATTATTCTTACCTATTAATGCATGAGTATATCTCCAAATGATCTTCTATTTGATAATACATAGTTAACTAGTTATACATAAGTGAAAGTACATTTTTTAATGTATGCTACAATTTTGTCTAGGTGTTCCCAAAATTAGTTCAAACTTTTTATAAGATTTTACCCATATCCTTTATTTCTCGATTTAAATAAATGCTAGAAGACTTACTTCTAAGAAAAATATTTTTTATAGTCATCTTGTAATAGTCTAAATTTATTGATGAATTATGTTTATAACTTAGTAAGAGTTAGTAAGAAACATTCCATAGTCAGGATATGCCCGTATCACAAAGAACAATGAAAAAGTCAAAGATGAGATGAAAAAAAAGAACTTGATTAATTTTCCAAGATAAAATATAATTTAAAAGCAAGTAAAGTAATCTCAGAATTATTTATTAGTGGTTAAAAAAAACAAAAGTAAAAGGAAAAACATTAATGGTACAACTCTGTGTTCAAGGACTCTTTTAAACTAGTTGTAAAAATTGTAAACTACACGCCAGAATACATGTATAATTAATCATGACAATCAGTTTATTTAGTGAAATATTCTTTACTTGAATTCAAAATTCAAGAGACTAATTCAGAAGCCTATGCCACTGATAGTGGGCCCTATATATTAATGTGCCAAGAAAACATTAGTTTTACATACAATGCACTGTGGATTTCAGAAAAAAATCATTTTTCATTTTGACATCATAATATCCATCTGACCAAAATAAGTCAATCTCACATCAGCTATTAATTTTAAACCAAATCATTCAGAAGTTAGATCAGACGACTAAAGATTTCAGAGATGGTAGTGCTGTCAAACTAGTAAACAAATTCCTACCTTAAACATCTCTAAGAAAACAATACTTTACTTTGGAACAGGTAGTTACGAAAAATTTCCATATTTCAATGTGAGATAAACAAATAGCAAATATTTTTCCAATGTAATTAAAAATGAAAAAAAAGTACCTCTCCCAAGAGCTGCTCTTCAGCAGCAGGGCTCTCCTCCCCATCACTCTGTGCTACTTGGTCAGAGTCTTTAGGAGCCTTTAGTACACAAAACAATTGCAGAGAAAGTTGAAGAATGTAGCATTAAAAGGTTATTAGTGAACAAGGAAGACAAACGACCCAATAAACAACATTCAGAGCTAATTTAATCATAAGCCACATTAAGTAAATTTATTTGAGAAACACCATTAGAGGAAAAGCAAAGAGCGATTACAGCTGAGATCTTCCCTTTCTTTCCTACTAAATGCCCCCTCAAAAAACAAAGATCTTAGCCTTAAGTATCTGAGCAGTCAATGATTTTGTTTTTCTTCTTTTGTGAAATTCACATACTGTCCAGAGCAAGAAATGCTCTACCAGCTAAACTTACACTATTTTTAAATGAGAATTTATTCACTTATTAAAATATCTTCAATCAGCATTTATTTTTACACCATAAAGCAATAAAAGACAAATTTCTTAAATTACATTTCCTTCTTTGTTATTACCTAAACCAAAATTTTTAGAAGGTAGCTATTTTTAAAGGCCTTCTTACCACATCAGGTCCATCCACTTTGTTCAAGGCCAAAGTAATCTGAAACAAAAACAATAACTCTAAATGGAATTCTATTTCAAGGCATACAGCAAATGTTTACCTCTTACTCCATTCTCATTGGCAAAACTACACAAAAGTTCACATCAGAAACAGCATGTTTAAGAAAAGAATAAAATCTGTGCAGAACTGAGTCTCAGTGGTTCTAGTTCAAAGAGTTCCACTGCTCACGTCATCGCACTCTGCTATTCAATGACAAAACCAATTGCAAAACACGTTTTCTTCTACTTTTAAAAAAATAAAATAACTATTTCATTTATTTATTTATTTATATTTATTTTTTTTAATCCTTACCCGAGGACATTTTTGCATTTATCTTCAGATAGATTGGGAGGGAGAGAGGGAGGAAGAGAGAGAGAGACATCAATGTGAGAAAGGTACGTCGACTGGTTGCCACCCACACTACCTCAACTGGGGTACTGCAACCGAGGTACATGCCCTTAGCGAGAACCCGAACCCAGGACTCTCTGGTCCGTGGGCTGACACTCTAACCACTGAGCCAAACTGGCCAGGGCTCTATAACTATTTTTTTAAATTTCTTTAGGTATTGACTCTGGAAAGAACTGCTATAAAAATATTTTGACAATCAAATTCTATTTCCTTAGTTTTTGCTATCTGGTTTACAGTAACATTTTCATATTACAGCTGTCCCTTGCTGTTTTGTACTTCGACTTTCGTGGCTTCACTCTATTGCGGTTTTTTCAAATATATTCATTAAAGAGTTGATCGAGACAGTGAAAATGATACAGCACGCACACGGCTGTCTTGAGTCAATTATATACCCCAGTATTACAAATGAAATTAAAATTACTGTACGTATGGACCATAGACCTATGTATTAGAGCACCCCTGTAAATCCTTCAACGCCAGGTGCAACTGCTCGACCGACCATACCTTGTGTGTGGGCAATAACTTTTTTCCAAAAATTCGGGTGTGGTGAAACCAAGCCAATCAGAGCATGCTGTTCACTGATTGGCTATCCTATCCTCTTCCTATCCTGGCCACTGATTGGCTCAGCCTCATTGCAAGTTTGTTTCTCTCATACACACTTCCACATCACTACACATCAGAAGCATCTTTGCTCTTGTGTTTGTGATTTCTGAGAACTTTTATTTAAGCCCCACGATGGCTCCTAAACGTGCTGCTGCTTTTAAGTCTTCTGACGATGAAACTAAGTGCCAGAGGAAGATGCTTACCATCCAGAAAAAGGTGAAACTCTTAGATATGATCAAAGATGGCAAGAAAATTGTGGAGGTTGCCCGCCATTACAACTTGATAGTCTACCCCATCCGTAAAGATGAAAAGAACATCCGTGCGACGGCTACTGTCTCTTTCAACAAGCAAAGCACGTCGTGACAAGTCGTAATAAGTTCATAGTGAAATGGAGTCTGCCCTGGATCAGTGACAGCCACAAGAAAAACATTTTGTTGGATTTGCTGGTCATCTGGGAGATGGCGAGGCAGCTCTATCAGCACTTTACGGTGGACGAACCTCAACCAGGACCCTCTTCTGCAACGTTCATGGATTTCACGGTGAACAAGGGTTGGTTCGAGAAGTTCCAGAAGAGATATCATCTAAAGAGTGTCATTCTCCATGGAGAAGCTGTCTCTGCTGACCAGCCTGCAGCAGAGGACTACATGAACAACATGTTCCAGAAGATCCTTGAGGAGGGCGAGTACCATCCAGAACAGGTGTTCAAGATGGACAAAACAGGACTGTTCTGGAAAAGAATGCCTTCCCGGACATTCATTTTCAAGGATGAGGCCAAGGTCCGTGGCTTCAGGGTGTATAAGGATCAAGTGACTATCGTTATGTGTGAAAATGCTGAGGGATTTCTGCTCAAGCTGCCCTTATCTACAAGGCCAAGAACCCTAGGGCTCTGAAGAATAAGAACAAGAACCTGCTGCCAGTGCATTGGATGCACAACGACAAGGGCTGGATCACGAAGCAGCTGTCATCGGACTGGTTCCATGAGTGCTTCATCCCCCAAGTCAAGCTGTATCTTGCGGAGAAGGGACTCAAGTTTAATGACCTTCTCCTCATGGACAATGCTGGAGGTCATGCTCAAGACGTATCCTACGATGGTGTATGGATCGAGTTCCTTCCTCCCACCACCACTTTGCTGATCCAGCCCATGGATCAAGGTGTTATCTGCACGTTCAAGGCCCTCTACATGTGAAACACAATGCAGAACCTAGTTGAAGGCATGGACCTTGAGGAGAACTTCTTGCTGAAGGAGTACTGGTGGCAGTATACCATCGTGACCTGTCTAAAGAACATCCAGGTCGCGTTGAAGGACATAAAGACGGAGACCATGAAGGTCAGCTGGAAGATGTTGTGGCCTGAAATTGTCCATGACTACAGAGGATTCACCCCAGAGGATATAAGCAACTCGGCGGTGGACAAGGCAGTTAGGCTAGCCCGGATGCTGGGAGGAGAAGGTTTCATGGATATGACCCGCGATGACGTGAATGAGCTGCTGGAGACACAAGACACATTCAGATCTCTTAACTGACGAGGATGTGGTGGAGATGACTAAGTCTGCGAGTGAGGAGGAAGAAAGCAGCCAGAGGTTCTTGGGGGTCAGGAGGAGGAAGCTGGCCTTACACTTGAGCATCTCTTGCAATTTGTGAGAACTATTAAGGTAGTACAGGACATGATTGGCGAATGGGACCCACAAATGATGTGTGCATTGCGGTTCGGGAATGCACTTGATGGAGTGATAGAACCCTACAAAAGCCTCTCATGCATATGAAAAGATAGCACCAGCAACTGCCTATCACAATGTTCTTCAGCTGCGCATCCAGACACCCACTGCCTACCCCTAGTGCTCCTTCAGTAGAAGACGACAACACACCTGCTGAAGATACCTCACCACCTGAAGACTCTCCTACTGAGGTCGTGCCTGCAGAGGAGCAGTAACCTTGTTCTTCTTTGCTATGCAGTACATCTCTTCATCTTCATCGCTTTATCATCGAACAAGTCGCACTATTTTCATAGGTTAGTGGTTGTAAGAACTGTGTGTGTGTGATTAAATGTACGATATGATATTTGTAACGTCTAATGTTTTATTTTGTCTAATAATATTGGGTAATACGAGTGTAATGGTGACTAGTATTTCATGTCTAAAGGGCTCTAATAATGTTAAAAAACGTATTTAGAAGGTTGTAAACAGGTTTTCTATGCTTTAACTGCGAAAATATTCTATTTATAAATAAAGAATCCTACTTAGCGGAAATTCATTTATCGTGGTAGAGTCTAGAACTGATTAACCGTGATAAACGAGGGCCGACTATCATCTCTTAAAAACCTAAAAAAGTTATAGCATCAATAAGAGTAGACTAGTCCTGGCTGATTTGGGTCAGCGGTTAGAGCGTCAGCCTGCGGACTAAGGGTCTCGAGTTCCATTCCTGGCCAACGGCACACACCTAGGTTTTGGGTTTGATTTCTGGCCCAGGTTGGGGTTGTGTTGGAGGCAACCATTCGATGGGTGTCATTTACATCGATGTCTCTCTCTCTCTGTCTCTCTCTCTTCCCCTCCCTCCCTCCCAATCTCTAAAAATCAATGGAAAAATATCCTTGGGTGAGGATTAACAACAAAAAACAGACTGTCTGACATAAAAGAAGCATTCAACTTCAGTGTGCTTGGCACGCTTACAGAGTATGCAGTACCCAACCTGTAGCACACACGTGACAACCCTGCAATGCTATAGTAAACTTTAGTCATTTTCAAAGAATGACAAGGGCTAATAAACATTACACAGACTCTACAATATTTCCTTCAAGGTTTCCAGAATCAGAGTGTTTCTACTGCTGTTCATGTCAACATTGTGAAATAATAATTAAGTCCCTCTTCAAGAAGAATACTATAAAACTAGAATACAACTTCATTGTTTTAAAAGAGAATCTTTTTTAAATGTTAAGCAAATCACTTGGGCTTCTTGTTTATTCAGGTTTAGTGAAATAAATCGCCCTTGTTCCAAAATATTTACTAGTTACTTGTTAGCTGGAACAACTCAATACACAGTTTGGGAATTGTGGGCTAAAGGCATAAATAGCTAGGGTGGAAAATAGTGATATCTTGGTATAGTACTATTTTTCATCATTTAAGCTGTAGTAAACATAGGTGATCTCTAGCAGTTTCCCTCTCTCCCCTAAGGTCATTGGTCACACACTCCTAAAAATCTGTGTTATTTCCAGTGTTTGTGGTTCATAGCCTCTTATTCAAAGCCCAATCTTCCCTGACATAGCTCTTTAAATTAAAGGTGGCTCTGGTAGCTTTAAAATCCAGGTATAAAATGAAATTTCACATTATGTACTCAAAACTTCGCAACCAAACATAAATTCTTATTAAATATTTATTGAATGATTGAGATTATCTGTGTAGAACTTTATTTTTTAAAAGTCTATTCTACATAAATATTTTACATGTGTAAGCACAACCTTTTCACTTTTCTGAAAGTTTACCTTTTTTCCTAGGTCTTCTTTACTGTATCCTAGAAGTTGAAGGTATTTTCCACGAGAATCATCCTCAAAGTTCACCTTTTAAAAAAGACATATTCTTGAAACAAAGACCTGCATATAAAGGCCTAAATTTTAATTAACTGATCAAATTTCAAGTAGAATTATTACAAATATCTAACAGCTATTACATCAACCAGAAGTTTCACTGCGAGCAAAAATCCAAAGGACAGCTTTCCTTTAAATAAGTTTTGTAAAAATAGTAAGTATACTAGTAATTATCCTACTTGAATAAAGCTTACTTTTAAACTATAATTTTTGTAAATACAAACTAACTCATGTCCAAAGGCTATATGAATACAACACTCACATTATACGAAACATTCGATATCCTAAAAATCTTCCCCCAAATTCATACTTGTAAAAAATATATAAAAATAAACTGTATAATTTCATAATTCAACCTTACATCTATTTTCTTTGGAAAATTCATTATCAAGAGCAGATATACCAGTGGAGTCAAATGACCAACAAAAAAATTCTATTGGTTATTCTGTCATAGATGTTAACTCAGTAGAAAGGATGAGAAATGCCTCCAACCTCTCTCCCTATACCTCTTCCGTCTTTTCCCATTTTCCTTAACTGGATCTATAAAAAAAAAATAAACATTCTATTTTTATTATACTTATGTTTTTAGTATACTAAGCTCTATGTTTTAATTTTAAAATAGGTCTGGTGAATATTATGTCTTTCTCACTTAAATACATCTATTATATTGTTTACTTATCAGAAAAGTACTTCATTTTAGGCTTTTCAAAAAAGAAGGAAACACTCTTGACATAAAAAGTTAGGTTGTGTGCTCCTCATAAGGTTTCCTTAATTTCATCATGAGGTTCCTGACATCACCTTCTACCAACTGTTTCTTTAACAGGAAGACAGATTTAGAATATAATGGGAATAGTTAAATTTGCAGAGAGTGAAATAAAATAGTTTTAATACCAACTTTACCTTCAAGAAGGACCACACACTTTTTTCAAATTCTGACTGAGAAGCATCAATTTTTTTCTGACAATAACTGACAAAGCCTTGAGACTGCACGACCTGCTGAAGTTGGTCTGATCGGCTGAGGAATTCCTTTTCTGTTACAACCTGACTAATGAAGACGTGCTGCTGCTGCTGCTGCTCAGCTCCCTGCTGAGACTGCATTTTGACATTTTCAAAGGTAACCAGCTTGCCTCCAAACTAGAAAAGAATAAATGAACAAAATCAGTTTGAACCATGAGGATGTGGCCAGAAAACATGCTACTACAAACATGCTAATGGAAAGAACTATGACCTAAACATTTATCACTTTGGATAAAATTAGCTCACACACTCTCCCATACCCCACAATCTGAACCCAATCTTCAATTATTATTTCTCTTTACAAAACCCACCTTCTAGATAAAATGTACTACTTCCTATGCCCCACAATTTCTCACCTACTTGATTTTACTAACTTCTACATATTCAATGCTACTTCTCTTCAAGGCCCAGGCAAATGTTATCTCTTCCATTTCAGATGCCTTCAGTGTATTATATATCTCTTTTGATTCAACTATTAGTTACGTATTTGCTTCACATTCTGTTCTAGAGTTTTAGAGGATGGCATAATATAACACTCTTGCAAAATACACCTTTTGAGATAATGATTATTTTGGGCTAAAGAATACTTGAAAACAAGCAGGAGCAAGAATGGCACTCTGACCTCCTCTTTTCTTCCTGAAAGTAGGAGATGAAACTCCCATATGAGAACTGTTCTCCCCAAACCAAGAATAAAGAAACATTCTTATCACCAGAGATGAGAGTTAAGACTGACAGAAACCTGTACAAACAGAACTTGTTAAATAATAAGAATCTCCCTTTAGTCTCTCTATTTTTACTTTTCTACAACTGCCATTTGTTCAACCTAGTATATAAGCACTTAGGTTTTGCCACTTCTTTGAGTCTTCATTTTCCTATGGAGCTTCCAATTACATGTGAAAATCTGTATAATTTTCTCCTGTTAATCTACCTTATGTCAGGCCATGCCAAAAAACCTAGGAGGGTAGATGCAAAGTTATGCCTCTTCTATACTTACAAGAAAGGCTCTGTGTCTGCTTTATTCTTTTTTTGCACAAAGTACTCAGTATCTGCCTTGTGTATAGCAAGTAGACAGTTAATATCTAATTAATGTATTCATAAAAATAAATGTATGTAAAGAAGGAAATACAGGACCAAATTTGGTTATTTACACTCAGTAATTTTTATACAAGGATTAGTCTTTATACAATCTTTTTTAAATTTTATTTTCATTTTTATTGATTTGAGAGAGAGGAAGGAAGAGAGAAACACTAACTGGTTGCTTGTCTCCTGCACGCTCCCCAACCAGGGATCAAACCCGCAACCTGGGTATGTGTCCTGACCAGAAATCAAACCTGCCACCTTTTGTTGTACAGATGACGGTCCAACCAACGGAGCCACACAGGCTAGAGCTACACAAACTTATCTCATTAAATATTAATATATTTAATATATTCAAAATGTTTGTTATGTCAGGCAAAATAGGAACTACCAAGACATAAAAAAGCACAAACCACTATCTTTAAGAAACTTAACATGAAAATAAAACTGGCTATAACAGGCACAATTAAGACCACACATGATGTGCAACTTCATAGAAGAACAAAAGCACTGGGTTTCCCCAAGTTCTGGGGAAGTTTAAGAAAACTGCATCTAAAAGCAAGACTTAAACTGAGTTTTATAGGATGATTAGGTTTATTTCATTGGTTCTATGAAATATTAACATTATAATTTATATAATCAATAATAATGTTACTGCTGTTAGCCATCAGCTTCCTAAATCATCCAAACCAAATATAGAAAACTTAAATATGGGTATTGAACATAATAAAAATATTTAAAAAATCTTAGTGATGCAATTTATAAAAATTGAAAGAAACAAAATAGAAAGGTAGAAATAGAAAGTATAGCCCTGTCTGTGTAGCTCAGTTGGTTAAAGCATCCTTCTGTTCTGCCAAGGTCCTGGGTTTAATCCCTGGTCAGGGCACATACAAGAATCAATCAATGAATGCATCAATAAGTGGAACAACAAATCAATGCCTGTCTGCCTGCCTGTCTGTCTCTCTCTCTCTCTCCTTAAGATCCAAGGGAAGAAGAGAAAGACACAACCTCCTCCAAAAAAAAAGGATTCAAGGAGGGAGACAGAAAAAGAAAACAAGTTTAATACAGTGAGGAGAGCCCTGGCCAGTTTGGCTCAGCGGTTAGAGCGTCGGCCTGCGGTCCGGAGAGACCCGGGTTCGGTTCCCACTAAGGGCATGTACCTCGGTTGCAGTTTGTCCCCGGCCCTGGTTGGTCGTGCAGGTGGCAGCCACTCAATGTGTCCCTTCACATCGATGTTTCTCTCTCTCTCTCTCTCCCTTCCTCTCTCTCCTTCCCACTCTATCTGTACAAAAAATGGAAAAATATCCTCGGGTGAGGATAAAAAAAAAAATTACAGTGAGGAGAGAGATGGATGGTGTGAAGGTGTGAAGGTTGTACGACAATGTTTTTAAATGGTCAAAATAGTAAATTTTTTATGTAATTTTATAATCAAAAAAAGAAAAAGGAAGTAAGTCCCACTTTTCCCGAGAAGGCATTTTAAACGACAAAAAAGTCATAGACATATCTCAAACTCAATCTTCTTCCATCAGTGATCCTATAATAACACATTACTATGATAAGTCCTTTGTGATTGCGAACCATAAAAACAAATCCACCTACTGAAAACGAAGCACCAACAGGCCTTCGGATCCATTTGGGTGGCTTCTTCAGAGGCAACACAATACTTTGCTGAGCAGCCTGCTGAGGAATTTGTAATGGAGGAAGGGGCTGTCCTGTGCCAAAGGGATCAAGATTTCCAAAAGACGATGAAAGCTAAATAAATAAATTATAATAATGTGAGCACTTTTAACTTGTACAAGACATGTTTTCAAGTCATATCAAAGAATTCTTTTATTGTAAGTATCCAATTAATCAATATTATTGACCAGTAACATCATTTTCAAAGTAATTACATAAGATGATTTTTTAAATCTCTTATGATAAAAAAAACCTCAACATTTCCTATTACCTTGTCAGCTTGTTTTTGCCTCAAACCATCAGTACTCCCTCCCATGATAGAATATACACTGATACGCCCATCAAAGGAAGCAGCTGACAAGACAGCAGGATTTCTGGGACACCACTGAATATCAAAGCACCACTGTGTGTTGGTGGGAAGTTCATATAAGACCTAGGCCAAAAGAAGAAAAGTCAGAAAACGGTGTATATAGCAAAAACACCTGAATTAATATGATCAACATATACAGCTTAATTAAATATTTTCTTTCTGGAGGTGTCTTTAGCCAGGAAAAACAAGTATAAAAATTTCTTTAAAGTACAAGAAAGTCCATTATAATAGTCTGTTAAGATAAAGACCAAAACACTATTAGAGTTAGCTTATAAGATTCTAAAAGATCACTGGTGTGTTGTCCAACTATTTTTGCTTGCCATGATCTAAACAACTTTATTTAGACTATTTGAAAACCAAATTTTAAAAATGATCTTGAGAAGAAAGAATTCATGGAGAAATTTGGCTTTTGGTCAAAGCAAGAAAACAGGTACACATCATTCTTATTACTGCAGAATTGAAACAGAATTCTGCATAAACAGTTTTATTAAGAAGGAAAGGAATATTGAATTACTATAAAAAATGACTACTATAAAATCTTTACAATGCAATAATTGTTAACTCAAAGCTAGTGTGATAGTAACTGATCCTCATAGAGCATAGGTTTTGTGCTTTAAGAAAGGGAATAGCGCCTGGCCAGTGTGGCTCAGTGGTTGAGCGTCAACCCATGCTCCAAGAGCTCACCAGTTCAATTCCCAGTCAGGGCACATGCCCAGGTTGTGGGCCAAGTCCCCAGTGGGGGGCATGCAGGAGGAATCGATATTCTCTCTCATCGATGTCTCTATCCCTCTTTCTCGCTCTCCTATCCTCTCTCTAAAATCAATAAGATAAAAAAAAAGGGAATAGGGCCCTGGCCAGCTTTTCTGAGTGGTTAGAGCTTCGGCCCAAGGACCAAAGAGTCATAGGTTCAATCCCCAGTCCCTATCTGGGTCGTGTAGGATGGCTCTCTCTCACACTGATGTTTCTCTCTCTACCTATTCCTGCCTCCCACTCTATCTAAAAATCAATGAAAAAATGTCCTTGGGTGGGGATTAAAAAAACAAAAAATAAATAAAAACAAAGAAAGAAAATAGTGAGTTACTATTTAGTGGGTACAGAGTTTCAATCTGAAAAGATACAAAAGTTCTGGATTTGGATGGTGGCAATGGCTGCACAAACAGTGTGAATGTACTAATGTTATGGAATTGTATACCTACAAATGGCTAAAATGGTAAACTTTATGTGTATTTTACCATACACACAAAAAAAGGTAGACTATGCATCTTTAAAAAGAAAAACAAGTCAAATTAGCTTAACTTTGGCTTATATAATATTTAAAATAATGCTTTATTTGATAATAAAACAGAATTAGGTGAAAAGGTACTTAGCCTGCTTTGATGCTTAAACTGGTTAAGATTCCAAGTTTCATGATATTAGGGGTGGGAATGGGGAGGAGGGTGTCAACGGGGGAAAAAGGGACATCTGTAATATTTTCAACAATAAAGATAAATTTTTTAAAAAGTTTCATATTTGAATCACTTGTTATTTTTAATTTGCATTTGAATAAAAAATCTGAAATTTTTTAGTTGCAGAATGCATGAAAAATTTATCACTTCAAAGTCTAGGCACACAAAAGTTATCATATACAAAAATTCATTTCATCCATTTATATAACTGAGAAAAATTAGAACAGTAATTTCCATGAATTTTGAACTCACCTGGCAAGGCACAGTGTAAATGCAATATTTTTATTATTTGATCTATATAAATCATATAAGGCAAAACTTATTATTTTGATTTTTCTCGTGTCTCCTAACTTTAATGTTTCTACATTCTTACAGACATCACTCCATCTGAAAACTTTAAATTCACAAATCAAGTTACAAAAGTACTTATTTTAATATTATAGATTAAAAGCTATTGAAGATACTCTTATTTTTACTAGTATTTAGGCTAACTATGAAAGTACTTGCAATAACCTATCTTAATTTTAAAAAAGTAAAAGTTTATAAAAGCTATAATTAAAATCTGCAGTCTCTTCCCCAAAACTGAAAGAGGAGAAAACTATTCAACTATTAAGAATAATAAAAATAATAGTTAAAAGAAAATTTTAGTACACAACCCAAAGCAAGTAAAATTATGTTTATATAATATTTACATTTAATAAGGTAAAATGTCCTATATCAAAATTTCTATGGGTAAAACATATGGCAAATTTATATTACAAAGTATGATATTCTTGCTGTATAATTCATAAAAGAGATTCAAAATCTATGTCTATTGATTTACAGGAATCAAAGAGGATCTTTAGGAATGGTAGTGCAAGAAAAAGACTCAAACCTTGAACACTCCTACTTTGAAGGCACTGATTTCCGGAATCCGCATGTTAAACAAATCAATCCAAGTATTCCTTAGTCTAAGTAAACACCTTTTATTGAAAATGGGGCAGGGGCTCTGGGGGATGATTACTAGTTTTAAATATACTATTTCAAAGACTAATTATCCCACATGAAACAACTGAACTTAGATAATGTTCCTGATGAAAATCTCTACTAGATTAACATTTCACACATACCTCCATCTACGTTCACATGCCCTTAACTGTAATAATGCGTTAAAGAATCCATATTAAATTTCTTATTCAGGTAGAGATAAAATAAGCCTGTGAAAAGTTTCCTCTCCATACCTCTCCTGTGTTTGGGTCAGAGCAGAGAATCCTAGAATCTTTTCCACAGCTCAGCAATAGTTCAGGATCCACCATGCTCCAAGCAATTGCCAAAATTCCCCTTATAAAAACCAGAGAGAGATGAAGAAATCTTTAATATTGAAAAAACCAAATCTCCAAATTATTTCTGTCTGAGCTCTAAAGACACACAGCTAACAAAAACATAATTTAATATAATCATTACAGAAAACAATTTAGTAGTGCATATGCTCTTTGATCATTAAAAGACATTCATTCAATAGTGTGCAGTGTATAACAGCAAAAATAAAAACAAATGCTGACAGTATGAACTGTGTAATAATAAATTACAGATCATCTTTTGATTAGAAGATGTATAGTTGAAAATTCTGTTGTAGAGCCCTGGCCAGTTTGGCTCAGCAGGTAGAGCGTCGGCCTGAGGACCAGAGAGTTCTGGGTTCGGTTACTGCTAAGGGCACATAACTCGGTTGCAGTTTGTTCCCGGCCAACCAGGATCGTGTGGTGGCAACAAGATGATGGGTCTCTCTCACGTCAATGTTTTCCTCTCTCTCTTCCCTCCTCTCTCCCTCCCGCTCTATCTGAAGATAAAATGCAAAAATGTCCTTGGGTGAGGATAAAAAAAAAAAATTATGTTGTAGAAATCTATTTATTACTATTAAAGGGTGTTTATAATTAATGAAAAAAGGTTAACTATGCACATAAATTCACATAAAAATATATAATTACATTAAATATTTACACAATTGAAGTTATGCATATATAAAGATATGAACAATAAAATGTTTTACCAATGAATGGGTAGAAAATGTAACTATTTTACATTGTCTTCTTTTTGTCTACATTTCCTAGCTTTTGTTATCAGAGAGGTTCTAGCATAAGAAATTATTTTATTAAAAGAGATTTAAAATTTTGTCTCATAAAGTATTACAGATCCAAATTGCCAAAGATCTGATTCTACAGTTTATTTCGTGTTTTAATAACTTTTGATTTTTATCCTGAGTATAACAAAGGTAGTATTTTTGGTAACTGTTCTGGAAATTCAGATTAGGATAAAGAAAATAAAAATCCTCAAATCCCACCATCACAAAAAAACAACCCTATTAAAAACTTGTCTTTTCTATATTCATGCCTTTGCTATTTAGAGATAGAAGAAACACTATCATACCATGAATAAAATATTAGAAACTAAAATTTAAATATCAGATACTAAAAAATACTAGGTACTGAAAAAATACTAGAAACTAGAAGTATATTTGCATATTTCTTAAAACAAAAGCATACAAATTAATATCTCATAAACCTCCTAAAAACATGACAGTAGTTCTAAGATGCAAAGGTTTTTATTTTATTTTATTTCTTTAATACTCACCTGAGGATATTTTTCTATTTATCTTCAGATTGAGTGGGAGGGAGAGGGAGGGAGACATGAGAAGGACATATTGACTGGTTGACTCCCGCACGACCCTGACCAGGGCCAGGGACGAACCCACAACCGAGGTATGGACCCTTGACTGGAATTGTACCCGCCACTCATTGGTCTGCAGGCTGACACTCTTACCACTGAGCCAAACAGGCAAGGGCTAAGATGCATAGTTTTTAAAAAAACTTCCAAAACAGCTCTGGCTGGTTTGGCCCAGAGGTTAGAGTGTTGGACCATGGACCAGAGGTTCCCGCTAAGGGCATGTACCTCGGTTGCAGTTTGTCCCCACACCCAGTTGGGGTAGTGTGGGTGGCAACCACTTGATGTGTCTCTCTCACATTGATATTTCCCTCTCTCTCTTCCTTCCTCTCTCCCTCCCGCTTTATCTGAAGATAAATGCAAAACTGTCCTCGGATGAGGATAAAAAAATAAAATAAAAATTTCCAAAACAAAGATAAGCCTTGTGCCCTGGCTGGTTTGGCTCAGCAGTTGGAGCATCAGCCTACAGACCAGAGTCCCAGGTTTGGTTCCCACTAGGAGCATGTACCAAAAAATAAAAAAGAAAAGAAAAATGCTGAAAATCAAAGAACTAGTATTTTATAAAAAAAGATAAGCCTCGTTATAAATGTGTTATTTATAGATGTTTCTTTCCCAAAAAAGTTGTTTTTAATTTGGTATTTCTTACAATCTTAATCATCTCGGAATCAGGACATTATGGTATAGAAAAAAGGCCCAAATTCTTTAAGACTTTTGTTTTCAATAGTTTATTTTTTTAAAGTTAAAATCTATAAAAATTATAAGGACAATGTGATGTACACCCTAGTATTCCTCTAGACTCAGATTCACTGATGTGGCCACATTTATTTAATGTCTTTCTTTCTCTGAGCATTTGGGAGTTAACTGCCAACTCATGACATGTCACCCTTATACTTATCTCCGGGGATAAGAACATTCTTGTACATGACCACAATATAATTACATATTGAAAATACTTATTATTTATATGCAGTACTTTAAAATAGTTCAAATTCAAATTTCCTCAATTTCATCAATAAGGTACTTTGTAATTACTGTCCTCCCTTTAAAATTCAATCATACATGTCAAGAATTTCAAGGCATGTCTTTTAAAAAAAATCCTATCATATTTAATGCCACATTTTTAAAAACATTTAGGTTTTAAATATATTTTTTTAAATCACAAGAATTATAGATCTGGAAATAACCCTAAAGATCATCTAATCCAATTCTTGCATTTAATAGAGGGAGAAAACTGAGAATTAGAGAGGTTAATTCACTCCTGGCACTCAGTATGGGTTTATGTCCTGCTAAAAATTATGACCATTCCTAAAATTGTCAGTATAATAAAGCATTAATAGCATGAATTCTGACTCCCTGGCCAGTGTGGCTCAGTTGGTTAGGCGTCATCCTGTGCTTTAAAAGGTCGCTGGTTCGAGTCCTGATCAGGGCACATAACTAGGTTGTGGGTTTGATACCTGGGTTGGGTACATACAGGAGGCAGTCAGTGGATGTTTCTCCCTCTTCTTCTCTATCTCTATCTCCCTTCCTCTCTCTCTCAAATCAATAAAAACTTATATATATTAAAAAGAGCATGGACTCTAAGATCAGAAGGTTTGGATTAGAAGTCAGTACTTGAGTTATATGAGCCTTGCTGAGCTTCAATTTCCAATCTGTTAAAGAGGATAATAGTATCTACACCATAGGTTTGTTATGAGGATTAATCAGGTTAACATTTAAAGTGCTTGCATAATGTGCATGTTATATATTTGTTAGTTGTCTTCCCTCTACAATGTAAGCTCCCTGAGGGCATAAAGTTTTGTCTATTAGTGAATCCTAGTACAGTACTTGATACAGAGTATTTGTTCAATAAGTAGGTGTTAAATGCATAAAAAACACCTTATCTGCCTTGAGAAAAATAATAAAACTTCTCAGAATCATCCCTTCTGTACTAAAAAGCTGACTGAAATATAACATCTGAATAAAATTATTTTTTGTTGTTGTTGTTAATCCTCACTCGAGGATGTTGATTTTTTTATTTTATTTTTTTAGAGTGGGAAGGAGTAAGGAAGGGAGGGAGGGGGGGAGAGAGAGAGAGACGTCGATGTGAGAGAGACACGTCAATTGGTCGCTTCCTGCACAACCCTGACCAGGGCCAGGGATCGAACCTGTAATCCAGGTAAGTGCCTTGACCAGAACCAAACGCACAACCCTTCCCACAACCCTTCAGTCCACAGGCTGATGCTCTACCCACTGAGCCAAACTGGCTAGGGCTAAATAGGATTACATTTTGATAGGACTCTTTTCTCCTTTAGAAGGAGCTCAAGGAGAGATCATAAACTTTAAGACTTCTTAGGTGTGCAAATCTACTACACAAGGAATGAGGGATTTAAAGCTTTAGTTTATATATCCCAAAAAAGGAAAGAAGAATAAACACCCGAAAGTATTTAGAAAATCCTATAACATTAAAAGGGATTTGTTTCTTGCTTAAAAACATTGAAAAAATATGCATAAACTCCCTATTTAAATATCAATGATAGGAAATATGCCAAATTATAAATTAAATGTAATGTTACTAAAACTAACATGAGAAAAATCTCATATCTTTTTAGAGCACCCATACATTTATTAAAACTGAAAGCAAAATAAACCACCTACTTCCTCAAAAATGTTTGCTTTTAAATAAAAATAAAAATTTAGAAATAAAACAAAATTTTCCATTTTTGCTTGACAATGAATGTTATGCAAGACTCTTCATGAGTATGATGACCCTAAGAAAGAGCAAATTGCATAATATCAAGATTTGTCCCAAAGTGTTGTGATCTACTGGAATTTTGATGTATTATTACTTGAAATAAGTAGTGGAAAATCCTCTACACATTATTGTGTTGTTATAATTTAGCTACCATTTTAGGGTATGAAGAATCAGATAACTATTACTTAAAATAAAAACAAACCATTTACACTAATTTTTACAAAATAGAGACACACTAGATTCCCTAGTTTCATAAAAATTATCTCATAATTTAAAGTAGCAAGTAAATACATGTTTTTAAAAATAAAGTTAAGTTCTTTGGAAGAGCAGCATGATACCTGGCATGATTTTCCAGGACACGGAGTGCAGAGGAGGCAAAGCGAAGATCCCACACCTGGACCACTGGAAACCTATCATCTTCAGATGCGAGGACCATCTGAGTAGCAACTTCAGGATGCCACGCCAACCCAGAGCAATGCATCTGCAGACAGTTAAGGCTCATATTTTATCAAATATATTATTTTATGAAAAGCCAAAATGATCTTAAGGAATATGCCTTTGTTGAAACAAACAGTAGAAAACATCAGCTCAGGCTTAGTCTATTTAAATAAAAATAAAAATGTGAGTGGAGGGAGAAGAGGGTACAGGAGGGATAAATGATGATGGAAAAATACCTGACTTAACGGTGGTGAACACAACACAATATGTAGATGATGTATTGTAGAATTGTACACCTAAAACCTACATAATTATATTAACTGTCACCCTAAAAAATTAAAAAAGTAAAAAACAAACAAAATCCAAAAAGTCTAAAAAGTATTAAATTTTATTAAACAATCTTAAACAGTAGTCTTAAAAGTAATAAGTTTAAATGTTTTCCATTCATCCAGCTATTTGATACATAAGCCATTTGGGCCAGAATAATTCTGTATCAAAAATATGTTTTCCTGCCAAAATTGTAACTAGGAGGAAGTTTTATATAAGTTTAAAATTTAACACTTTCAGCCCCAGCTGGTTTGGCTCAGCAGTGGGAACATCGGTCCGTGAACTGAAGGGTCTTAGATTTGCTTCCCAGTCAAGGGCACGTATTTGAGTTGCTGGTTGGATCCTCAACTCCCAACTCCAGTAGGGGTCATGTGGGAGGCAGCCAGTCGATGTGTCTTTCTTTCTTTCTTTTTTAGTCTGTGCCCCTAGCGGGAACCGAAGCCAGGACTCTGGTCTGCAGGCCAACGCTCCAACCGCTTAGCCAAACCAGCTAAGGCTCAATGTGTCTTTCTCACATCAATGTTCCTTTCTCTCTCCCTCTCTCCTCCCTTTTCCACTCTATCTGAAAAATCAACGGAAAAATATCTCAAGTGAAGATCAAAAAAATAAATAATATAAAAGGACAATAATCCCACTCATAAAATAAATAAAATTTAACACTTTTAGAAAAATAAAAATAAAGAGAAAAAGATTTTAATAACAAAAAATCCACACCTTTCTTCTATTTTATCAGAAAAATCAAGATAGAATGTTTAAGCAACAATTACCATTCAAATTTTCACATGAGGATAGATTAACATTATTATTGAGAATCACTTGGAAGTTCAGATCCCATTAAGTATTCCAGGAGCCCTGGCCGGTTTGGCTCAGTAGTTAGAGCGTCAGCCTGCGGTCCAGGGAGACCCGGGTTCGGTTCCCGCTAAAGGCATGTACCTTGGTTGCAGTTTGGCCCCAGCCCCGGTTGGGTCGTGCGGGTGGCAGCCATTCGATGTGTCCCTTTCACATTGATGTTTCTCTCTCTCTCTTCCTCTCTCTCCCTCCCGCTCTATCTAAACAAAGAATGGAGGGATGTCCTCCGGTGAGGATTAAAAAAAAAAAAGTATTCTAGGAGATGATTGAAATGCTTATTGTATACTTTATTTCACTGAAACTCCTGATTCACTGAAAAACAAACCTTGAAGAAATATTCTTCTAAATAGTTTTTTGTTGTTGTTGAAATTTTTATATGTATTTGCTGATTTAGGTAAACTTGTTTTTTAAAATGTCAAACTATACAATGTAATTAAACAAAAAAAACTAACAAAAGAAGGCCTTAATGGTATCTAAATTATCTTATAGCACATAATGACATAATATTAAGAAATCTGTAAGGTCAAAAATTTAATATGTTATATAGCAGCATCTACTAGGCAAGTGGGAGAAGATTGTTAGCTCACTTTAGCAGTACCTAACAGAAAAGAGGAAGCCAGGCGTTTGGAAACCACGAGTTCACAGAGTTATAAAATTACTCAGAGGAAAAATCTGTACATTTTAGAGAAAGGTAAAGATGAATTAAAAAGTTGCTGTAATGCTTTGAAACAGCCAGCAAAGCAAAACAACCAAAATATCATGGAATAAGACTCCAATCTTTCTCTTCATAGTTAAATTCCAACACGGTTTACTGAGAGCTTTATCTTCTCTAAGGAAAAATTCTCTCATTCCAACATGACTGACCCATGAAAATACAGGGTTTGACTTTATAGAATTTGATGTTGCCAACTCTCACAAGTGATATAGGAATATCTACAGAATACAACATATTCATCACAAATTAATCATATATTTACCTTGTTTTTATGATCACTGACTTTGATGATAGGTTCATTTTTTCTAAGATCCCATACAGTGGCCCGGCCACTGGAACTGGCTGATGCTAAAATATGCTGGACTTGTCTGTTCCATGCAATGCAGCTGATATCTTCTAAAGGCTATAATGAATAAAGTATTAAAAACCATTTCTCAACTACAATCAAATTTAACTATAAAATCTGATCCTTCTTTTTAAAAAACAGATCACTTAAAAAAAACTGATCTAGCCCTGGCCGGTTTGGCTCAGTGGTTGGAGCGCCAGCCTGTGGTCCAGAGAGACCCGGGTTTGGTTCCTGCTAAGGGCACATACCTTGGCTGCAGTTTGTCCCCAGCCCTGGTTGGTCGTGTGGGTGGCAGTCACTCAATGTGTCCCTTTCACATTGATGTTTCTCTCTCTCTCTCTTCCTCTCTCTCCCTCCCACTCTATCTGAACCAAAAATGGAAAAATATCCTCAGGTGAGGATTAAAACAAACAAACAAACAAAAAAAACCTGATCTGTTCATTCCACAACTTTACTTTATATGCCTAAATTCTCAACAATACAGTTTAATATTGTCTCATCTACCAGGCATTTCTTAAGCTCCTGTTATAAATCAAGCACTGTTTATTTGTAAGTGCCACAGGGTAGATAATGGACCACAAAGCAGATGTGGGTCAATATAACAATTAGGCAGGGAAAAAGTTACAGCCTAGACAATTAGAAACATGTCTCTATAAATGGTAAACCATACACTATCATTATGCTACCTCTCAGAAAGCCAAAATGTTAGGTCCCGTTATAAAGGCTACTCAAATTGAGTAGTCTATACAATATAAAGAAACTCAAAGAGGCACTCTGTCCAGGTGGCTCAGATGGTTGCAGCATCATCTCATGCACTAAAAGGTTGTGGGTTGATGTGGGTTGATTCCCGATCAGAGCCCAAACCTAAGTTACAGGTTCGATCCCCAGGTCAATGTAAACCAACCTCCAACTCTGAAGATAAATGGAAAAAAATCTTTGGGTGAGGATTTTTAAAAAGAAAAACCAATGACATCTAAACATTTATTTTAAACAAACATTTTCTGTGGAAAGTAAAGAAATAAATTAAGTGTAGAAGAACTGATTTTGGTTCTTTTGATTATATCAAAATCAATGTAATACCTGTGTTTTGGCTCCTGGTGTCATTGGAGTTGCAAAATTGTTTAGATCCCAAATGTAAATTTCAGATTCATTAGCACCAGAGGCTACCAGATTAGTCTACAATAAAAAACAATAACTAAATAGCACTTATAAATAAGAGAACTCAGACTAACTTAGTTCATAGCTAGAAAGATCTGTCAGTTTTAGGTCATACAATTTTTCTATTTAAGAAGCAAAATGTATGAATTCCTAAATACTATGCATAACACTCTAATATTTAAATAGTTTTTTAGAGAAACATTATGAAATTCTATTTAACTTAAAATGATAATATGTGTATTGACATTTTAATACAAGACATAAAAAATAATTACATGGATAAATTCTTAAACAATCATGCAACCATATGAAGATTATTATTTGTGGGTTTGCAACTCTGGAAAAAGATCCGACTGTGGAAAACGAAAACACGTCACCAATTATTGCTTTCAGGCAAATAATTGAATCCTAAAATAATGGCATCTATCTCAAGACACCTCAAAGCCACTTTCTGGAGGCAGACCAAAATAAGGCTAGTAAAACCTCATGTTAAATCCCTCACATAATTCTACTTCTTTTACACTCAATCCCGTTCCAGGTGGCAATATTTTTAGGTTATCTCTGTTGCATACATTTACAGTCAAAAGGCCCCTAAAACTGTGTTATGAAGTATAGCAAGACGAATGAGTTTCATGTATTAACCTTCATCCTTTATTGTTCACTCTCATAAATTCTTCTCTGATCAACGTAAATATAATTGAAAAAAGAGGAAATCTAAGGTAATAGCTACCTATGATACAAAACACTAACAAAAAAATAGCAGCCGTCTAATCCAATTAATGAAAGAGCTAGCTTTCTAATCTTAAGAGTAAACACCATAAGTGATAGAAATTAAGAAGTTTGGGTTTTATAGTTCTATACCTTAAGTATCTAGTTATAATACAAGAAAAATAACTAATTAAAACTTTAAGATAATATTCATTTTTTGGTTGTTGTACTCTGGTATTCTACTAATTCAAAATCTTTATTAACTTATTCATTTATATAATTAATATTCAATAATGTTTAAGATGGCAACAATAGACTCTTAATTGTCTATCAATTAAATTTTCACTATATTTGTATATTTTTCTAATTATTTGATAGAGTAGTAATCTCTTCATCATAAATACAAAATTTCTCAATTAATAAAACAGTGGATTAACCCAGACACCACAGCACCAACTCAATGTTGGATTAACACAAACTTTAAAAGACAAGGTTTCCAACCTATGTCTCAGGGCTCCTAATGTTTAAAAAACGTCCAATCAGATGTTATGACATCTCCAGAGTTCTCGGAATTAAACTAATCAGCCAGATCCCTTCCATGCAGTTAGTATTATTTACCCTGAACCCAATTCTGAACTCTCCATTCTTCAAACAAACATACTCACTCATCAACTTGCAGAGGCACACATATTTAGTTTTGGATTCAAAGACTAAAGCATAGTAGATTAATATACTTATCTCAAATAAGCAGCACACATCTCAAGAATTATGAATAAATGTAAAAAGTCGAACCTGGAAAATGTTCACATCCAAGGCTCTCACTGGGCCAGTATGCTTGTCATTTTGGGCAATCACAACTTCCTTGTCTCCAGCTATAATTTTAGAAGGATCATAAAGAATAATATTTCCATTTTCACCACCTGCAATCAAAACTCCAGAGATATTTCCTTTGGAATCCATCTTATGAGGTCCCCAAATCAACTTGTGATACCTTTAAAAAAAAAATGAGTAAAAACAACCCAGATGATATATTGTAGAACTGTACATCTGAAACCTGTATAATTTTATTAACCAATGTCACCCAAAAAAATTCAATTAAAAAAAACTAATTTTTGAAGTCAAATAAATGTAAAAAAAATGTTTTAATTATAGATTTAATTCCTTATATCTTCACAAATACTCCAAAAACACTGCTTCTCCTCAATTCCTGGTGACTGTGAATATTTGGTGAAATAGCATTTTAGTTATTTGTACTCATATGTGCATATTTTGTAAGTTAAGAGTAAAAATACTCTTTTGTAAAGGTAATTTAGTGTGACAAAGTATCCTTGAATTGTGAGTTAAAGATATGGGCTAATGAATGGTTTTTACTATTTAGACACTGTGAGGCCCAGGCAAGTTATTTGATCTTCTTAAGCTGCTTTTGATTCATCTAAAAAACAGAGCTAAACAGCCCTGGCCAGTTTGGCTCAGCAGTTAGAGCATTGGCTTACGGTCCAGAGAGGCCCGGGTTCAGTTCCTGCTAAGGGTACATTCCTTGGTTGCAGTTTGTCCCTGGCCCTGGTTGGGTCATGTGGGAGGCAGCCACTTGATGTGTCCCTTTCACATTGATGTTTCTCTCTCTCTCTCTCTCCCTCTCCCTCCCTACCTATCTCCCGCTCTATCTGAGGATAAATGGAAGAAAATATCCTTGGGTGAGGATTTAAAAAAAAAAAAAATAGAGCTAGTCAGCTACTTCCCTTGATTCTATTTGACTACAGAAGTATTCACCAACAAGTGGTCTGTTAAATACTAATGGTGTTGAGGGAGTCATTTAAAACTTTCTAAGAAAAATAATGTATTCTGACAGTAAAAAGTGACATCAAAATTATGTCTGTTATGACAAGTATTCCTAATTGTGGAGAATAAAAGATTATGGTTTGGCATGGAGATAAAATATGAAGGTGTCATGGAGGTACAATCAGCCCTCGTTTATCGCGGTTAATCAGTTCCAGACTGCTGTGATAAATGAATTTCCGTGAAGTAGGATTCTTTATTCGTATACAGTTGTCCCTTGCCACTTCGCGCTTTGACTTTCACGGCTTCACTCTATCGCTGTGGAGAGGGACAACTGTATGTGAAGACACACTATAAAATGGTAGTGAGTAGAAAAACTACAAGACTAAAAGTATCTGCGGTTCCAATCACAGTGGCAGAGCTCTGAAGAATATGAGGGGTCCCATGAGATTCTATAATCTGTATTCTGTTAGCTAAGGTACAATTTCATCAAAATCTGCCAAAAGTTATTGAATCAATAGAGCAATTTTACTACTCAAATAAAAGTGTACTTTTTTGCCTGGCCAGTGTAGCTCAGCTGTTGAGCACCAAGAGGTCGCTAGTTTGATTCCCAGTCAGGGCACATGCCCAGGTTGTGAGCCAAATCCCCAGTGTGGGACATGCAGGAGGTGGCCAATTGATGTTCTCTCATTGATGTTTCTACCTTTCTCTCCCTCTCCCTTTCTTTCTCTCTAAAATTAAAAAAGAAAAAAAATTTTTTTAAAGTGTACTTTCTTGCCCTGGCAGATTTGCTCAGTTGTTAGAGCACTGGTCACGGACCAAAGGGTCCACTGTCTCTAAAAATCAATGTAAAAATATCCTTAGATAAGGATTAACAACAACAACAAAAAACAGTGTACTTTCTTTCTTTTTTTGTTAATCCTCACCTAAGAATATTTTTTCACTGATTTTTAGAATAAGTGGAAGGGAAGGAGGCAGAGAACGAGAAAGCAAAGAGAAACATCGATGTGAGAGAGAGACATCGCTTGTTTGCCTTCTGCATGTCCCCAACTGGGGCTGGATATCGAACCTGCAACCCAAGTATGTGCGCTTGACCAGAATCAAACCCATGACCCTTTGGTCTACAGGCCAACACTCTAATCACTAAGCAAAACCAGCCAGGGCAGTGTATTTTCAATAAGGCATAAGTAATTGGAAAGGTGATGCAAATAACTACTGTATCAGAAATCATGTCAATAAAATTCTCTGGCCCTGGGTGGTTTCACTCAGCAATTAGAGCATCGGCCTGCAGACCAAAGGGTCCCTGGTTCAATTCCCAATCAAGGACATGTACCTGGTTTGCAAGTTCGATCCCCAGTCCCAGTCGGGGTCATTTGGGAGGCCATCAATTGATGTGTCTCTCTCACATTGATGTTTCTCTCTCTCTCTCTCTTTCCTCCCACCATCTATATCTTCACTCTATCTAAAAATATCAATGGAAAAATATCCTCGGGTGAGGATTAACAAAAAATAAACAAATAAATAAAAATAAAATTCTCTGTGAAATATATTTTCAAATATTGATAAGTACAAGCAAAACATTAAAATAACCTACCATTCAGAAATAATCACTATTTACATCTTAATATTCATCCAACTACTACTTTTTATTTTTTTTAAAAATATGTCTGTATTGATTTCAGAGAGATAGAAAGGGAAAGGGGGAGAGAGATAGAAACATCAAAGAGAAAGAAACAGGGATTGGCTGCCTTCTGCATGCCCCCTACTAGGGATTTAGCCTGAAACCCGGGCACATGCCCTGACCAGAACTGAACTGGTGACCTCTTGGTGCATGGGATGACACTCAATGCACTGAGCCACACTGGCCGGGTAACTACTATTTTTTAAAATCATACCTACCTTTTTGTGTAAACAGTGAGAAAAAGGAGATAAAAGAAAGTAACTCTACATATCATAAAGGAAAAAAAAAATAACAGAAACTAGATCCCTTCCTTCCTATGTACACACAACAGTCAATAAAAAGTCGACAGACATAGGCTCAACTTCCACAGAAAGTCACTAATATATATTTTTCACAAAATACTTCATATCATTGTTGGTAGTATTCCTAGCATTTCTAATAATTGTATATTTATAGACAAACTAGGCATCAATCACAACATATAATTAAATATAATCGTGAATTTAAGGCTGAATCTCATACCTGTGAGAAGAAGAGAAAGCGGCACAAGATTTCATATCCAAGGATGGATCGGAAAGGTCAAATTCAAATATCTCAAGGGAAGCACTGGTACTAAATGTTGCATCCAATTGCTGAGCAGATGTTCCTATAGAAAATACATTTATGGTAACTATGCATGCAAAAATAAGTCTAAGAAAACCAAACAAAACAGAAATTAAATGCATGTTTTTCAATTATCTCACTCATGAGTGCTGTAATAGTGGCTGAAATCTCAGCACATATGCCACTGAGCAGATGTTTCAATTACTATAGCAATGAGGTCCTAACACAGGGCTTGGAGATGACGTTTATAAGAGTGGGTAGTGCAGATAATTTTTTAAGCCTATAGATATATTAAAAACTCTCTGTAAAAACAGAACCATGATTTTCTGTATCTGTTTATAGTCACAAATTATGTACTGTAACTCCAATTCTTTTTATATCAAAAAAGCTAGTGTTAAAATTGTTCTTCATTCAAAATGATATTTAACAGTTTTGTTGTTTTTAACATGTTATCTATTGTACTCAGTACTGGAGAAATAAAGATAAAACACAATTTTTATAAAGTGGGGAAGATACTATAAATATATCATGATTAATGCTATGATGTACAGGTGCTATGGGAACACATAGGAAGGTCACTGAACTCAGCTAACAGGAAGGAAGAAGGATCTTGCAGGGAAGAAGAGGCTTTCTAGAGATGAAGCTTGACCTGAATCTTAAAGAACGGGTATGAATAACTCAGATGTGGAAGAGAAGAAATTAGGTGACTCGTACTACCTTTTCCTTGTTGAACTTACCTGTAGCTAGGTAAATGGGATGATTCTGGGCAGGGCTCCATGCCTGCATGGCAGTACGATCTATTTCCTTTAACTTCATCCTGCTAAAGAGAAGATATTGAACACGTAACATAGAACATAGAAATATACTGGACAAATCATTACATCATTAGTAAAACTTTAACATCAATAAATCAAATTAGGTATCATTTTTTTCAGAATGTTCAGTATTAGAAAGAAGAGACACTTGTTAAATTATTTTGAGACAAATATAAGGTTATTCTAATGTTTACAGATTATATTAGTCCTTCAGCTGAAAAATCAGCCTGGAAAAAAAAAAAAAAAACCTGCTATACTGTTTCTCAGACAAGAATAGGTGGCAGTGTATCAGAGGTAAGAGAAAGCACATAAAAAACAAGGTGCAGCCCTGGCAGGTTTGTTAAGTGGTTAGAGCATCAGCCTGCAGACCAAAGAGTCTTGGGTTGGTTTCCCGGTCAAGGACACATACCTGGCTTACAGGTTTGATCCAGGCCCCTACCAAGGCTGTGCAGGAGGCAACCAATCAATGTGTCTCTCTCATGTCAATCTTTCTCTCTCTCTCTCCCACCCTCCCTCCTTCCTCCCCTCCCTCCCTTCCACTCTTTAAAAATCAATGGAAAAATATCCTCAGGTGAGGATTAACAAACCAAATAAACAAATAACAGAAAAACACAAGGTGCATTTTCCTGAAGCAGAATCATTCAATAAGAGCAGTTTTTAAAATTAATTTTACTTATTTTGTTAATCCTCACCTGAGGATATTTTTACTTTGATTTTTAGATAGAGTAGAAGGGAGGGAGGGAGAGAGAGAAAGAAACATTAATGTGAGAGTGACACATCACTTGAATGACTTCTCCATGTCTCCAACTAACTGGGCTGGGGATCAAACCTGCAACCCAGGTACCTGTCTTTGACTGAGAATTAAACCCAATATCCTCTGGTCCAAGGGCCGATGCTCTAATCACTGAGCCAAACCAGTCAGGGCTAAAATTAATTTCAAATTAAAACAGACTAACTACAAAGAATATAGGAAGCCCATAGATTTTAAAGATAAAGCAACTCTTTCCAGCTGACGCCAAGCCATGGATTGCCATGATCTCACCAGCAATAAGCTCCTGTGAATATACTATAAATACACTAAGAAATGCAGACAGGATCAAGGAGCTGAGCCCCCACAGTGGGCCCAGTGGGGAGCAGCCATCTTAAATGAAAACATAAGAGACAGAAGTCAGCTTTCAGGGCCCTGATTACAGGCAATTTTTCTCAGGAAGAAAAGAACTGTCTTCCCAAATGTCCAGCTCTAATGAAGCCATGACCCAGACCAGGGAGCTGGAGGAGAGGGCCATTGACAAGCTCAAGGAAATTATACAACACAGGCCAGGCTGGCTTGAGGTCTCTGAGATGGCTGAGCACCCAGACTATGACCTGGAGACCTTTGTGAACAAGGCAAAGTCTGCCCTGGCCCAGCAGCCAAAGCCTTCTCAGCCCTGCAAGATGTCAACAAGGCCTTGTGCCTAGCCATACAGCTAGAAGAACAGCAAGAAACGGCCCCGGTGATGACTGCAAATAAAGAGGTTTAGTTTCAAAATAAATAAATAAATAAATAAAAGATAAAGCAGAAAATTGTAAAAAACTGGTCACTTCAAGCTAAAAAAAAAAAAAAGAAAAATCTGCCCTGGCCTGTTTGGCTCAGCGGTTAGAGCATCGGTTTGCGGTCCCGAGAGACCCGGGTTCGGTTCCCGCTACGGGCATCTACCTCGGTTGCAGTTTGTCCCCGGCCCTGGTTGGGTTGTGTGGGTGGCAACCACTCGATGTGTCCTTTCACGTCGATGTTTCTCTCTCTCTCTCCCTCCCACTCTATCTGAACAAAATATCAAAAAAGTAAAGTGTCCTCAGGTGAGGATAAAAAAAAAGGGAAAAATCTGTTATTCTACATAAATGCATTCACATGGCACAGTATTCCACTACAAAGATATACCATAATTTACCTAAGTCTGCTACTGATGAACACCTGAGTTGTTTCTAATCTTTTGCTATTTTTGCAAAAATGCTGAAATAACCTTGGCTGGTTTGGCTCAAAGGCAGAGCATCAGCCCGCAGACCAAAGAGTCGCGGGTTCAATTCCGACCAAGGGCACGTACCTCAGTTGCGGTCTGTCCCTGACCCTGGTCGGGTGGTGCGGGAGGCAACCAATCGATGTGTCCCTCTCATGTCGATGTTTCTCTCTCTCCCTTTTTCTCCCTCTCTCTCCCTCCCACTCTATCTGAAGATAAATAGAAAAATACCCTTAGGTGAGGATTAAAAAAAAAGGCTGAAAATAAATGTCCATTGAACATATTAATTCAATGATATAATATTTATAGCAAGGATAGCTATAAATTTCCAGAAGTAAAACCGCTAGGTTAAAGGACAAATTAAATTTAAATTGTGATAGATATTGCCATGTTGCCCTCCATGGCAACTATACCTTTTCACATTCCCAAGAGTAATATATGAGTAGCTGCTGCCCTACTGCCTTACCAGAATAACACTTTTTGGGGGGTAACACTTTAGATTTTTACCAATGGGATTGATCAATGAAATATGTTAGCTCTGTTTAGTTACAATTTGCATTTCTCATACTACAGATAATATTGAACATCTTTTTTTTTTTTTTTTTTTGGTAAAAAATGGTTTATCAATTCCATTTTTGTATAAAACACATGGGAGAAATCCAGCCAATCAACACACAACTGTTGCCACATGAAAAGGTACTTTTAGCAAACTTCGAGTCTAAGAACATACAAATGTTTCTCTTACCATGTTTACAGTAATTATCTATGCTTTTCCATTTAATTGTTTTTAAAATTCCACATATCCCCATTATTTCTTTTGTCCTAATTACAGTTTAATGACAGGGAGGAAGAGAGTTGGTTAAAACAACTCTCAAAGCAGTTTTCTGCTGCCCCTTCTTTCCACAGACTTGTGAATGTGAGGAATCACAACACCCCCAGCTATGGTAGCCTTGATAAGAGAATCCAACTCTTCATCACCATGGATTGCAAGCTGCTAGTGGCGTGGAGTGATCCGCTTCCCTTTGAGATCCTTGGAAGCATTACCTGCCAGCTCCAGCACCTCAGCAGTGAGGTACTCCAGGATTGCAACACTGTACACAGCTGCAGTGGCACCGACACTTCCATGGCTTGTGGTTCGAGTCTTCAAATGTCTGTGGGTGTGGCCCACGGGAAACTGAAGCCCAGCTCTCTGGGAGTGAAACATTGCCTTAGCCTTCCCACTGTCCTTACCAGCTTTGCCTCCAGCCATGGTCTCAGCCGCTCCGCCCTCACTCCCACAGAGCTGCTCTGAACATCTTTTTTGTATGATTATGGGTCATTATATTCCCTTTCTGCTACCTTTTCTGTCTGTTCTTATCTATATCTATTAGGTTGTCAGACTTTATGTTTTGGTTTTGCTTATATATATATTTTTTACCTTTCACAAGACTTTATTTTTTGACAGATTTTATTTATTAGAACAGTTTTAGGTTCACAGAAAAATTTAGTGAAAGTACAGAAATCCCACATACCTCTCTCCAAGTCCAACCCCACACCCAACCACAGCCTTTCCCATCATCAAAATCCTGCACCATAGTGGTACATTTGTTTCAGGCAAGACCCAACATAGATACAGCATTATATCCCGAAACCCATAGTTAACGTTAGGGTTCACTCTTTGTGTTATACAATCTATGGGTTTTGACAATGTATAGTGACACATACCCACCATTATAGTATCATTCAGAGGTTTCCTATCCTAAAAATTCTCTATGCTCCACCTATTCATCCCTCTCTTCCTCCCTCCCTCCTGGTAAACACTGTCTCCATAGTTTTGCCTTTTCCAAAATGTTATTTAGTTATTAATTATAGAATATTTAGTCTTTTCACACTGGCTTCTTTCACTTAGCAATAGGTATTTAAGGTTTTTCCATGTCTTTTTGTGACTTGACTGCTCATTTGTTTTAAGCACTAAAAATATTTCATTGTATGGATGTACCATTAGTTTTTTCTTAGTCAAATCTGTCACTTAAAAAAAATGGTTCTGAATTTTGATTAGTTGGAAAGGCCTTCTACATGCCAAGATTATGAAAAAATTTACCACATTTTTCTTCTAGCAAATCCATTTGTGGCTTATTCTTTTTTTAAAAATTGTTGCAAGTATTACAGATGTCCCTTTTCCCCCACTGACACCCTCCTCCTGGCTCCCACCTGCCTCCTGCCTTCCCCAGGCTAGTGTCCATGTCGACTGGTTGTGCATATATGCATTTAAGTTCTTTGGTTTATCTCTTCCTACCCTACCCTTCCCCCCATCCCTCTGAGCTTTGTCAGTCTATTCCCTACTTCCATGAATCTGGATCTCTTTTAGTTGACAATTTATTTTGTTCATTATATTCTACCAGTAAGTGAGATCACGTGGTACTTGTCTTTCTCAGACTGGTTTATTTTACTTAGCATAATACTCTCCAGATCCCTCCATGTTGTCTCAAAAAATAACAGATCTCTTTCTTACAGTTGCATAGTATTCCATTTTGTAAATGTACCACAGCTTTTTTACCCACTCATCTACTGATGGGCATTTGGGCTGTTTCCAGATCTTAGCTATTGTAAATAGTGCTGCTATGAATATAGCGGGTGCATATATTCTTCCTGACTGGTGTTTCAGGCTTCTTAGGATATATTTCAAGAAGTGGGATCACTGGGTCAAATGTTAGTTCAATTTTTAATTTTTTGAGGAAACACCATATTGTTTTCCACAGTGGCTGCTCCAGTCTGCATTCCCATCAGCAGTGTGCTAGAGTTCCCTTTTCTTCATACCCTTGCCAGCACTTGTTTGTAGATTTGTTGGTGGCCGCCATTCTGGCAGGTATGAGGAGATATCTCATAGGTGTTTTAATTTGCATCTCTTTGATGATTAGAGATGATGAGCATTTTTTCCTATCTCCTAGCCATTTGTATGTCCTGTTTGCAAAAGTGTCTATTTAGGTCCTCTGCCTATTTTTTAATTGGATTGTATGTCTTCCTTTTTTTTTTTTTTTTATCCTCATCCGAGGACATTTTTCCATTTTTTGTACAGACAGAGAGGGAGGGAGAGAGAGGAAGAGAGAGAGAGGGAAACATCGATGTGAAAGGGACACATCGAGTGGCTGCCACCCGCACGACCAACCAGGGCCGGGGACAAACTGCAACCGAGGTACGCGCCCTTAGCAGGAACTGAACCCGGGTCTCTCCGGACCGCAGGCCGACGCTCTAACCGCTGAGCCAAACCGGCCAGGGCTGTATGTCTTCCTTTTGTTTAGTTGTATGAGTACTTTATATTTTGGATGTTAACCGTTTATCCAATGTATCGCTGGTGAATATATTCTCCCAGTGAGTGGGTTCTCCTTTCATTTTGATGCTGGTTTCTTTTGCCATGCAGAACCTTTTAAGTTTGATGTAGTTCCATTTATTTTTTCGTTTGTTTCTCTTGTCCTAGGAGATGTATCAGTGAAAATTCCACTAAATAGGATGTCTGAGATTTTTCTGCCTACATTTTCTTCTAGAATTTTTTTTTTATCTTCACCGAGGACATTTTTCCACTTTTTATTCAGACAGAGCAGGAGGGAGAGAGAGGAGAGAAAGAGAGAAACATCGACGTGAAAGGGACACATGGACTGGCCCAACCAGGGCCAGGGACAAACTGCAACCGAAGTACATGCCCTTTGCGGACACTGAACCCAGGTCTCTCTGGACCGCAGGCCCACGCTCTAACCACTGAACCAAACCGGCCAGGGCTCTTCTAGAATTTTTATGGTTCCACAGGTTACATTTAAGTCTTTTATCCACGTTGAGTTTATTCTTGTGTATGGTATGAGTTGGTGATCTAGTTTCATTTTTTTGCATATAGCTGTCCAATTTTCCCAGCACCATTTCTTGAAGAGACTGTCTTTTCTCCACTCTATGCTCTTGCCTCTTTTGTCGAATATTAATTGTGCATACTGTTTGGGGTCGATATCTGGATTCTCTGTTCTGTTCCACTGATCTATATGTCTGTTCTTGTACCAGTACCAGGCTGTTTTGATTACGATAGCTTTGTAGTACAACTTGATATCTGGTATGGTGATTCCTCCTACTTTGTTCTTTTTTAAAATTGATATGGCCATTTACGACTTATTCTTTATGTATAAATTTTGACCCACTTGTAGTACATCCCAGAATACAATGTATGTTCAAAGTTTATTTATTTATTTCTTATCATTCCAAAACCATTTATTGAAACATATTTTTCCTACTAATTTTAGATATCAATTTTATCATGTACTAAATTTCTGTATTTAGGTTTATTTCTGAATTTTCTATTTAGATTTATACTCCTGTAGGTATTAGAATGTAGGTTAGAATGTAGATTAGGATTTAAATTCCTTTATATGCTTAGGTTTATTTCTGGATTTCCATTCCATAGGTCCATTAGTTTATTTACATGTTAGGCACTGCACTGTTTAAATACTGAGACTTTATATGAGTATGATTTCAATAACACCAATCTTACCTGTTTTCCTTGTTATTACTCCTCAAACAGTTTTTGTCAATTCCAGGAAAAAAAAAGTTATTTTACTGAATCTGCATCAAATTGAATAAATGAATTTATAGATAATTAACAGGATGCTTGAATCTTTCTATCGAGAACATGGTGTCTTGATTTAAGTCTTCCTTTTTGGCTTTCAGTATTGTTTTAGTATTTTTACATATTGGGTTTGCTTATTCCTGTTTCATTTTTTGGTTTGTTTGTAAATGTGGCTTTCCCCCCTTTTATTATACTATTATCTTATTGTTTTTTTTACATCATATTGTTACATGAAGGCTAATGATTTGTTTATATTAATTTTGTATCCTGCTATCTTACTGAATTCTCATTTTTGGAGTAGTTTTTCAGTATTATGTGCCAACAGTGACAGTTACCTATTTTTTTCAAACTGTTATTCCTCTAATTTCTTTCTCTTGTCTGAGTTGGCTAGTATCTATTGTACCATATTAAACAGTAGCCATAACAGTGAGATTTCTTGTCTTTTTTTTTTTTTTTTTAGTGGGGAAAGCCTACCATATCACCACTGAGCAAGATTTTGGGATTCAACATATACATACATATGTACATATGTATATATTAAGTGCATATAATGTAAGGAAATAGCCACTGACTGTTTTATTGAATGCTATTTATAAAGACTGGGTGTTGAATTTTGTCAAATGCTTTTCATTAGGTAATTAAAGATGTTTTAGGTAAATTATTTTTTCCTTAGGCCTATCAATAAAACAAATTATACTAACAGATTTCCTAACAGTGAATCATCTTCTCATACTCTGAATAAACTCTTGATCATGATGTATTATTCTACTAATGTGCTGCTGGATTCCGTTTGTTTACAATAGTTTTGCCTCTAGAGTCATAAGTAAGATTCCATCCATAGTTTTCTTCTGTGCAATCTTTGTCAGGTTTTGATATCAATGTTATGCTTACTTCACAAAAATATGGGGTTTTTCCTCCTTTCTATGCTCTGGAACACTTTCAAAAGAAGCACTGGAATTACTGGTTCTTTAAGGATTTAGTAGAATTTTCTTGTGAAACATCAGGGCATGGTACTTTGGGGGGAGTTGCTCCTTTGGTAATTTTCTATGTATCTTCTATGGAAATTGATCTGTTTGAATTTTCTTTAGTCAAGGTCATTTTTTGGTAAATCACATTTCCCTAGTGTTTTCATTACCATGATCATCAATACATTCTACAATTCCCATTTATATTCTCCAGAGTTGTTTGAATTTAATATTCAAGTGGAGGTGCCTTTATTTTTACTGTGTTGTGATTTTTCTATGCTATTTCTCCTTTATAAAATTTACTGAAGTTTCCCTTGGGACCAAATAAGTGTTTTTGTAACTATAAGTGTTTTTGTTCCATGAGACCTAAAAGGGGGTGATCTGGCTGCTCCAATTTGAGTCTTGGCCTCTTGCCTTCTTCCCTGAACAACATGAGCTTCAGCACCCACTCCAGCTTCTCCATAAACTACCGGACCCTGTGTTTCAGATCTCCCTGTCCCACTCCACCAGAATGCAGGGCTGCTGGAGGTCCGGGGGGTCTGGTTGCAAGGATGGCCCTGGGCCTAATGGGCATTGGGGCATCCAGAGCAAGAAGGAAACTAAGCAATGCCTGAATAACTGCTTGGCCTCCTACCTGGAGGGTGAGAAGACTGGAGGCTAATAATCGGAGACTGGAAAGTATAATATGGGAACACCTGAAGA